GCCACCAGGCTGCACCTCCCTGCATCCATGAGGAACATCCAGCGCCTCCATTCTTCTCCCACGTAGGCAGGGCCTCGGTTTTCCAAGAAGGAGGCCACTTCCATTGGGAATGCCTTCAAACCACACAAGCTAAGCTTGACATGAATGTGCAAATCAGTTACACAGTAGAGTAGCTTTTAAGAAACCGGGAGAGCCTGATCACACTGTGGCCAAGCGGCCACTCCCAGGAAAGGCCCAAGCAGGGCAGCCGTACAAGACACCCTCTTGGTCATGTTGGCCAGCGGCTGCTGTCTGTAGGCACTGCCTCTGACACTGGAGGTAATGCAGCCAATGACAGCCTTCCTCTCCGTGCATTTATGCACCTCCTTTTCAAACCGTTCCAACGAGCGTGTGGGTCCGGGACTCAGGAGATGCGGGTTCTAATCCCCAGGGGGGGGAGTGAAGTTTCCTGGGTGAATTTGGATCAGTCCCTGACTGTCAGCTGCAGTACGTCATGCAGCTGTGGTAAGGATGAAGTAGCGGAGAACTGTGGTTTCCTTGCAAGAGGAAAAAAAAAATTGGGATAGAAATGCAATGGCAACATTTTTTAAAATGTTAACAATGTTAACATTTTAAAAAATATTGTGTTTCCAACTGATTGTACTGACTTTCTGAGACCAACCATGGCGTTTGCCAAAAAATCTCAACAGAAAAGTAGACTTTGCCTAAAAATACAGTTAAGCACACACAACATTAAAACCATAATATTTTTTTAAGGCTGAGTGGAAGAGATGAGCCTTTTAATTTGAAAAGATATGATGATAAAGGAGTCTAAAACGGCCCTGCATGAGAATACATGTCTGGATCATTTCCTGCTTGGAATTGCAGTTTTTCTGAACCATGCCCAATGCTTCAATGTATATTGCAGGGAAAATGCCAGCCAAAACATACTATTTTTGCCCCCTGAATGTGTGTGTGTATTTACATATATAGTATTCAGGTTGTAGAAGAATGGTAATACTTCAAGCGACTGGAAACTCCTGCCACTTGGTCTCATGGGACTGGCTCATTAGACAAGTTCCTTACTAGAATATGAACTCCTTCACCCAATGTCAAAGAAGGGTGTCCGTTCTTTGCCTTATTGTTGTGGGGACGGGTAGGTAGTGAGTCACCAAGGATAATTTTCTTTAATTTCATGCTGTGCATCTTTGTCAAATCTTTCCATGTTCAGTTGTGGTTATACATACTGTCTTCCATGAAGTAGGGGGAGAAACCAAAATTATAGTAGGGGAAAATTCCTTCCTCTGTACTCCTACAGTGATGTGGCGTTGCAGATACTTAGTCAGCCTTGGGGGTAGGATTCTGCTTCCCTTTTAATTTGTTTGTTTGTGGAAATGGTCACTTCTTACCAGCCCTTTTTGTGCCTCTTCCCCTCTTCTTGTGTCTGTGTTTTCCTTGCTGTCTCGCTCGCAGATGTATTCTCCTGGCACCACCTGCAAAGTTGTGAATTTTTTCATGGCTTTGACACACTGATGAGAGAGGAAAGTGGCCCTGCGTTTGTTTGTGGAAGGAACGACCCACTTCTGTTGTTGAGAAATAGACTAGATATTGCTTGAAGACAATTCTTCACAACCATGGCTTTACTTTGTGCACTTGCTAAATTTAAACTCTGGGATCTGGGAATAAAAATGTGTCAAAGCTTGGATTCTAAATCATTTTGGTACAGATATTTTCAGTCTCTCTTTACCACCCTGATTTTCAAGTTATACTTTGACAGGTCACTACTGAGGCATGGAAACCCATGAGACACAACTAGGTCCCTGTCAGGAGAGGTGCATGTCACAGGGCCAGGCCGTGCCCTGAGATGCCAGCCAGCAATGCTGGCTCCTGGTGGTGCCAAAGGGCAAAGCTCTGGACAGGAGGAGTGTCCTAGAAACAAGTTTCCAGCTTGTTTATCGAGGCCATCCAAGTTATTTTGCTGTGTGAGCCAGAGCAGCAGATAAGGTTGTTCCCATTCCCCCTTCCCCTGCCAAAGAGATAATTGCCAGCTCGAAGATTTGGGCATATTTTAGCATATGCAGACAATATACCTTCTTGTTTTGGGGACGTGTTTCCTCTTGTGTGGGAGGTATTCTCTAAGTGGCCAGCTTAGGGGCTGACATGAGGTTGGGGGGAATGTTGGATCCTTCAGCATGGACCCAACGTAGGTTAGCCACATGTCCACTTGAAAAGAGCACAAGTCCCCTGTTGGTGGGACAGCCCGAGACAAGAGCTTTCCTCTGCTTGAAGGGGTGGCTAGGCCAAGCTTGGCATGAAGCTATAAGACCCTCACAGGTTGGGTTGTGAAGTTGCTGAGCATCAGCAGATTAGGCAGGGTGGATGCTAATCTCTCACTCTTGCTCTCTGCTCTCTGGAAGGCATTTCCTCCTTTGGGAACTCAGAAGTACCCGCACTACTCTTGGTGTGTGGTGCTCTGGTGAACGGTGAGGCAGGGTCCAGTGGGACACACAAGATGGGATGCTCTGCAGCGGTTGGTGAGACACCCTCCATGCTGTTGGCAAGCAACCCTGAGTTTGTGTTTTCTCATCTGCATACAATGGATTTTAAATGACACAGCATAACAGACCAAACGGAATGAACCTTCCACTGGGAATTTATAATCTCGGCCCGTTTCTAGCAGTCTATCTCATAAAGTGATTAAAGCCAAAGGGACGGACCTTGTCAGAGCTTCCCAGGGCCCTTCCGGATTCTTGCTGGTAAAAAAGCCTTGCTAATTAACTGCCACAGAGTGATAGATTTTTCCAGTCCAGCTGCCATGATGTTGATGTAAATTATTTGCTCTCATTTAAAGCGGTGCAATCGTTGAGAAATTGACCGTTTATTGCTCTTGAATCCTGGGGTCGGCGGAGGAGCGATAGTGCTCCTTTCCATTTCCTTTGGGCCCATTCATTTGCTGACTCTAGCGGCAAGCCTTTGAACTGCCTGTAGGTAATGGAACCACCATAGCCCTGTTAGGAGCCAACTGATCATGTTTTAATTTCTACCCATTTTTTCCCAATACATTAAAAGAGCACTGCACTCAGACCATGTACAAGGGGTGCTCAGGGGTGGATTTCCCTCTCCACCACTAGAAGAGCTGCAGCCTCCAAAAGCAGAAATCTGAGCAGGGATTGCCCACCCTTCCTTTCCGCCATCCCCAGCCACCATGGCCAACTCCATGGCAGCGTTGTCTCTCAAGCTCTGAGCCCCTGCCGTGGGAAGAGCAAGGAGAGCAAAGGGAGAGTGCTGGTGGGTCAGGCAAGGCAAGGAACCAGTGGATCCCAAAAGCTCTGTGGCCCTTCCAAAAAGGTGAGCACGCCAGAGTCCAAGGCCGATCTAGCGAAGATCACGAAATCACAGGATGGAAGAGGGTGATGGAGCCTCTGTCAGGAGGCACTGGGATGGACAGAGCGATTTGTGATAAGAGCCTTCCAGCCTCTGAGCCTTGGACCAGTAGAACTGGACTGTAATACATGGAACTGAGTCCAGTTTTTCCCCGGGTGAATTGGTGACTCTAGATTTTAACCCTCCAGGAAAACCAGTTGAGTTTGGGGGTTGAGGCAGGGTGCCAACTTGTCTGGAAGGGCTTCATGCTATACTGCAAAGCTTTCAATGCCTGGAAATGTTTGCAAACAATGCCGCTACAAAGGAACAAGAGCAGTTAAAGGAAGTTGCGCTAAGTGACGTCAGCTGGACACAAACCAAGAGCAAGTTCGGTCCGGGATTGCACTCGCATCTCCAGAAACTGCAGGCAACAGCCAATGGGGGGGGGGGGGGGACTCTTTGTGCCCAGTCATGTGCAAATAGCACCTTGCATCCACAAAGGTACAAGGCTACGTGTGTCAGCAGAAAGAAGTCCTACGGACTTCTCAGCATTCGGCAGCCAGCCAGGACTTTCTTCTGGCTGAGCATGCAGAGGATTGCATCTTTCAAAGAAGAGAAATGTCCCATTTCCTTTCTGATGGGGCAGTTGTAGTGTTTCAAGCACAGGTGCTCTTCATGACCATCTCTATAGCCAGACTCCCAGGGGGTGTCCAAGAATACAAGCAGTTGCGTTGATCAGTTCAGACCAAGGAACCAGTTCAGACAGCTTCCACCTCCACAAAAGGGCAGGCCTTTTGGAAAGCAAAGGGTCTTGATTGTCCATTCAAGACCAAACAGCCCCCAGATGCCCTGAGCATACCTGACACTGGATCATTTGCTGATGTAAACAGTATTTTCTGGATCCGTCTTGCGCAAAGAAATGACTCCAGAATACTTAATTTGGGGAGCTGAAGGGATGGTAAAGATGGTTGCAGGGGAAGCAAGAATTTTTCTCCACAAATGCAGTGCCATTCTGTGGCAGTGAATGGGACAGGAAGAAATATTTTAGAGGAGCATCTGCTAGTCCTCCAAGCCATCTCCGCTCTGCTTGGCAACAGCTGCTCAGGCCCAGCACCTGAGTTCGCTGAAATCCTTCTCATCTGGTCATGCTGGGGAGTGAACCAGGGACCTTCTGGATGCAGAACAGCTGCTTTTCCACTGAGCTATGACCCCTGTGGAACAAACAGAGAAAGCACCTGGCCTGGCCAAACAATTTTCCTAATCTGACCTGAAAAATATTTGCTGGTTGTTATTTGCATTAAATTACAAAGCTCTCTCTTGTTCTCTCTCTCTCTCTCTGTGTGACACACACACAGACACATACATACATACATACAGAATATTGTTCCAAGGTCTGAATGTAAGCAGCTAATGTAGGTTGGGGGATATGTACATTCCTGTATCTGCTCATGCTATCCACTTCCGTATACCCCTAGAGGCTTAATATTGATTTGCTATCAGGCACTGTACAAATTGTTTTCGTTCAGCTGAATGGCTTTAAAAACTCAGCTTATAAGGGTGCCTGTTGAAATGACTGATTCATTGCACAAGTCATTACTCTGTGCAATTATACCTGCCTTCTGTGCTTATTTACCTGTACCCTATTATAACCTTCCCAGGGTCGCCATGTGAAGACTGGGCAGCTAGCTGCAATCAAGGTGTTGAACGTGACTGAGGTGAGCAAGGAGACTTCTGGCTTTGCTGGGGGTGCGGGAGGTATGTCTCAGCTCTCTGTGAAAGACAGAATTCTTAATTTTCCATCTCAAAACTTGACCTGAAACAAGAAATAGAACCAAGTGTGGGCTATGAAGATTAAGGAGTGGGGCAGTGCAGAAATTGACACTGGATTATGGACAACTGGGGGTGAGAATTCCTGCATCAGGTCTTCCTAGGTGCACACTTTTAAGAACTGAATAGAAGAGCAGCCCTGCCAGATCAGACCAAAGGTGCAAGGATGCTGCCAAAGCTGGAGTTGGCATTGCCTGGAAGAAACCGCTAGATTTGGAGTGGGTGCAGGTGTTGACTGTGTGTCTCATCCAGGAATCCACACAAGAAATAGATTTGGCTGCTTCCTAGTTAATAACACCATTTGCAATGGGGACTTGTGAAGCAACTAGGCTGAGTGTTAAAACGGTGCCTATTTATGGGAGAAAATGATCCACTTGTAGAAATGACGTTCTTTGCACTCCGCGTTCACTTCCAGAAGTACGGAGGATGGACGGATTGGCACCTAATCTGGTTTTCAATCATGCTTGCAGAATTGGGGCACGGCAATTGAAGATGGCCGTTGTGTATATTTTGCTGGCCTATAATGATGAAACAATGAGGCCTCTTCCTGGTTATTTCTTGATGATTATCTATGTCCAGCAGTAGCAAATAGAAGATTTCCTGTGGCTTTGAAACAGCGCCTGCTGTGTTTTCATAACAACCTTGTCCCTTGTACACCAGTCGTTCGCTCAGTGAAATCTAGGCCACTGTAGACAGAGACACAGGTGGAGATGTAAATCTTGCATTTGATCCCCCATTGAAAAGAAAAGAAAAGAAAAGAAAAGAAAAGAAAAGGGGAGCAGTTTTTTAACTTTCCACTGTCCCATTGCAAAGTGATGCTGCAAATAATGTACAGAACTTACACAGACTGGATACAAGAGTATATAAGGGTGCAACACTATGCAGGTTTAGACAGAAAAAGTCCTACAACGTCTAACATCCCCACCCAGCATGGAAGGGGCTAACGAGAATCGCCTAAAACACCTTGAAGTCACCAGGTTACCCCCCCCCCCCCCCATGGGCCAGAGTGTGGGATTAGAAACAGGAAGCCATGAGATCTGATCTGGGGAAGCCATGAACTTTTACTTGGGGCCATTCTACTTTTTCTTGGCCAAAACTGACATTACTTTCAGGGCACAAGACTTTGCATTGTTAGAGCTAAGAAGCCCTACCCTGGCTGAAGAATGCTGGAAGTTGTGGGACTTTTTTCAGTCTTCATCTGCCAAGGATGGCATTTAAATAGCAAAGACTAAGCATCTTCTTCCATTTTGCACCATGGTGCTCCAATTTGGCCTGCCCTAAGCTCCCTGCAGAATGGTACCTGGAAGCTACCCAGATACTACTATCACCCTGATTGAGTAGATAGCTAAATATACACTCATATTTAACAGGGCATGCACAGAACTTTGACGGATGTAGGAGAGTCCATCCAATGTAGAAGAGATTCGTTTTGTTGAGCGATGAGCAGTGGCCTGGAGTACAAGGGCAGAGATGACTGGGGAATGCTAGGAATCGGCAACCTTTTTTCTGACTCAGCCTGCATAGGATTATGCCTTAACTACATCAAGCAAGTTGTCTTTTATTGGGTTAGGCTGTCTAGCCAGGGCTACCCTCCGATTATTGCAGCTAAGATTTCCTGCCAAGAGCTAATGCTAATAATAATAGCAGCAGCCACATTTTATTGAAGACTGGGCAAGGGGCCCAGCATCGCGCAGGGTGGAATCACCTATTCGCTTCACAGAGTGCTGATGCTACACAGGAAACTCACACAGCTCTCAGAACCGGGACGCGGTATCCACACCCAAACGAAGGAGGCCATGCCCGGCACCACCTCTATGCGCAAGCGTGCTTGGTGCATGCCTACAGCCCCCCGAGAGGGCTGTCCCATGGCAGGGGGAAGGAGGCAGGCATAGAACTCTGCCCTTCAGCCTACAGATGTCCCCTGGCTTCAAACCATGTGGACTGCAAAACCATGTGTTTGTCAAGAAAGCCTGCCCCTAGTAGATGGAGATGGCTGCAGCCACATTTATGAGTGCATTTCAAAAGGAAAATAACCCCTCTGGGGTCTCCTTAGTATTTATGCCAAGTTTCAGAAGGCTGGGTTTCGTGGTCTTGGTGTATGGCGCCAAGAGACAGAGGAATTGACAGATGTCTATTATAATAGATGTCTTCTGTAGAATGAGAAACACTTTTTTACCCTTCCCACTGGCCCTTTCCTCACAAACCACAAGAGAGAGTTGCATAAAGAACATAACAGGCAGCCTCTTCAAAAAAAAAAAAAGGGGGGGGGAACTGAACCAAGAGGTTTTCAGCTGGCACCAAGAAGTTCATAAAGATGGGCCAAGATTGTTAAATGCACACATGGTGTGAAGAAGCTGGAAGATTCCCCACACCCTTTCCTAATACTAGAAGCCAAGGTCATCCTGCTCTTGGGGGATTCAAGGCAGAGTAAGGAAAATACACATGTATTTCAGACCTGAGTGGAAGGTAGACTGATCTGCTGGTGAATCTCCAAGTAATCTATCTCTAGTAAATCGAGCGTTTCTGACTCCCAGTAGCAACTACAGTCAGTCTGTCCTTCACCCACACCCCGAGCTTCAGCTGCTAAACTGAAGGAATCCACCACTGGATTTTTGGGTGAGAAAAATGCCGTCTCTCTTCTGGTACGGAAAACTGAACAGCCCCCTGTGGCTTGCGTCTAAAGGCACGGTCTCTTCTCCCCACTGCTTTGCAGCTGACCCTGGCTCAGTGGCTCTTGGTGATCCACTAAAGCCACGTGGACGCTGCAGACTTGACCGCTGCTTGCCACTGGTGGGGTTCGCCTATGGGATTCCCCGCAGCAAGGTGAGGCAAAGGCTGCCAGCTTAGCTGGCTTTGGACAGCTGGACAAAGAGCGGCCTTCCATGGCGGCCATGAGGGCTGTGGCTTGCCCCCTCTAGGATGCGGTGCTTCCCGAGCTGCCGAAGCAGGGAAGGGCTGATGTGGGCAGGCGTTTAGTCTGGTCCAGCCTGGCTCTCACTGCTCTCCTGGGGTGCTGAGGGCTTTGGGGAAGCTCTGGGGCACCTGCCAGTGGTGGGTGGGGCCAGAAGGAATGAGCCAAATGCAAAAGGAAGGGGGTCAAGAAGACCAGCATCGTTCCAGTTAAAGCTTATACTGCTAGTAACTAAACTGTCTTTTTGCTCCCATTTCAACTTTTTAAAATGGGAGGACTGAAAAAACCCAGGGAACTGTCTAATAATCCATGACCCAATGGGAGAGGGACAGGGCTAGTGCCACACTTCCATTAAACCTGCCTGAGAAGGAAGTACCACAGATGGGGTGCCACAGCTGAAAAGGCCCTGCCTCCAGCTGCCATCCAGCAGAGCTGCCAGCGGGGGACGGGGGGCGGGGGGGGGGCGGTGGAGGCAGGAAAGAAACATGAGGCAGGACTTCTTGGGCTGGCTTTAATGGCCAGGAAGGCAGTCCTCTGGTTCCACCCTGGAACTGTTCATCCTACAAAGCCTTTCTTGGCCCTAGTTTGATTCTGCAGATAGTATTCCATTCTGGCAGTTGTCTCTCTCTACAAATCATCATGGTTTCTCTCTCTCTTTTTGTCCCTTTTGTCTTGGACCCCCTTGTCTGCTGAAGACAGGCAGTGAGCCTGTTGCTGCCGTGGTCATCTGTCTAGAAAAGACACCACTACAGTGTCGTATTTCTGGAAGGGGTGTGGGAGCGTTTGGTAGATCTGAAGCCCGTGTGGTTTTGCACACCTCTTCCCCACCAGCTGTACTTCCTGTTACATGACAGAGCAAAAGAGGGCAGGGTGCTCCGCCAAGATCAGGGTCTCGATATTGAGGGGAAATGATTACAATTAGGGCAGCCAGTGCACGAAGCCAAGGTTTCTGCTCTCGTTGCACTTCTGCATTCGCAATGGAAGCAGATGCAGCCTCTGGCTTCGCAGACTCGCAGTCATATCGTTAAGGTCCGTACAATGCATTTCAAATGTCCTCTAAGAAGGCTGCAAGACAAACCTGCAAGGTACCCAGTATTTTCAGCTCTACGAGCAGATCAGGGAATGGACTGAGATATTGATGGCAAGGCAGGCCTGGGACCAGCAGTGGGCACGACTTTTAAACCTGCCGCTCCCATCAACCCCAGCCAGCATAGCCAATAAGAATGGCAGTTTTATGCCGAGACTGCAGGAGGGCTGCAAATTGCCCGCTTATGCCCTAGATGGAAAGATCCCACATGCTGGGAAGGGCTGCAGTTCATCCTCAGAGCACGTGCTTGGCACACCGAGCATCCCAGTTAACCCTAAGCAAGTCTCCTGCTGGAAAACGTGGGGAGCAACACGCCCCACCCATGCATATCATGCAAAGCAAGGCAGTCTGCTGGTCAGACTTGACATCTTCCGTAGCTCCTGGATACCATCCATTTTTAAACAAAACCAAACCTCCACTGGGACCCCCTTTCACATCTTTGGTCCAGGCAGGATTGACCCCAACCAGCCAAGATGATACATGTGCATGCATCCATCTGAGCTCCATCCCTTCACCCCCCCCACCCCCTTTGTTGACCAGGCCGTGTCCTCATCCATCCTTCCCGTGAAAGGATGCGTGTGTGACACCGCACCAGCCACAGCATTCTGCCCGGCTTGCTCTGCTCAGCTCTCCTGCTGTGGAAACTCCCCCTGGGCTGGGGGCACCTTCCCAAGGCCTGGCACTCCCAGGAGGATGCCTGCTCTGCCTGCCCTTAATCCAGCCCCGACTGCAGATTCCTGAGAGCCTGGGGCAAGACCTCCTCAGTGCCCCCCCCCACCCACAGTGACCTTCTCGCCATGTATTGCTTCTCGTCTTCATGGAGCCAGGAGGCCAGTGTTGGGAAAGAGGCAACATGGCACTGGTTTTTGGCATGAGGCCACAGGTCACTCTGAGCTGGACCCCGAATTGGAGGGGAGGAGGTGGAGGGAGCTTGAGAACCTGGGGCTCCAGATGTTGGGGTAAAAGAAGAGGTGCTTCTCTCATGGCCCCTCTTCACACTCTCCGCTCAGATGGGCTCTGGCAATAGCCAAGATGCACAGGTGTTGGGTCGTGGGCTCAGGAGAGGTGTTCTCAGAGCCAGACGAGCCTGGTATGACTCCTGACCCCCTGAGGTGGAATTGGGAGAGGAGGGCCAGCCAACTAGATGACTGGCATATAGAAAAGAGGTGGACTCACTTTCCTTCAGAAGGGATGGGCCCAGACATGCTCCAAAGGAGGATTTCTGGAAGTAGTTATTGAGAATCGCTCTGTTCATGCTCAGAGATACGTTCTGTGGGGATTGCATGTGTTGGGTATCCTTTTTGCAAAGAAACTGTTGGTTGCCTTGAGTGTGTGAAAGGCCTGGCAGCCGACAGCCACTGCGTGTCTTCCCTCTGCTCCTCACCTCCGTCCTTGTCTGCGCCACCATGAGAGGCAGTGAAGAAGCCGGTTGCAAAGGTGAAAGAGCACCTGCAGGGTGTGCTTCCCACTGGCAACCCCCCTTGATGAAGCACCTTCAATAGTGCGCTGCATGACATCTGTTTTATGAGTTTAGGGCTGAAGCAAAGCAGAGCTTTGTACAGTCAGTTTAAAAAAAAATAAAGGAAGATCAGTCATGCTTAAGGGACGTTAGGATATGGAATCATCCCTCGTGTGAGCTTTATTTTCCTTTGAGGTTAAAGGTGTGTGCTTCACACAGCAGATGTGAGTGGGTTTTGCAACGGCTTCTCGGTGTCAACACCACCCCTTTGCACCCAGAAATGACAGCCGTTGAGCAGTTTCTGTGGTTTGAAATCAGTTAAAATGCAATCCTAGATATGTTTAGACAGAAAAACAGCATGCTGAGAACTGCAGGCTTTCGTTTCTGTTTAAACATTTCTAGGATTGCATGCTGTGTGTATTTTAAAACTTTGCATTGCTCTTAGGTTTTATTCTGGCTTTTGCTCTCATTTTACACTGTAGTTTTACACTTTTACATCTCTATATTGCACCTTATGCTGGATTTTATGTGTTATGAGCTGCCCAGAAAGCTTTGGCTAGTGGGTACTAAACACATGCAGTCACCCAATAAAATAGCAAGCAGCATCGCCTTGGCATATCAATGCTTGGTGACTGTTACTGGCAGCACAGTTAATACCTGACCAGGGTTTTCAGTGTAAGGAAAGCCCCTGCTGGATCACAGCAAAGGTCTCTGTATATGACACAGCACCCTGCTTCCCACAGTGGACAGCTAGAAATTTCTGGAAAAGCCACAGATCTAGCACTCTAGATTTAGCACTCTAGAAAAGCACCTTCTAGCACTCTGACGGCTTCCAGATGGGGAGGTTCCATGTGGCTGTTGTTCTCAGAGCAATGGCTTCCCAAATTTTTGTCTGATCCCATGTTAAAGCTGTTTATTTCTTACACTTACACCTCTTCTTTCCTCTGGGGGGGCAGGGGGGACACATGGTCATCCTCCTTTCTGTTTCACTTTCAAAATGATGCTGTGAAAGACATTAGGCTGAGAGTCACCCAGTGAAGCTCACGGCGGAGGAGGGATTAGAATCTAGGGCTCATGAGTCCCAGTCCTGCTGTCTCACCTTGACTTCATGCAGGGTCTCCCACCGAGGGGGCAACAGCTTCCAAACATTCCTATAGCAGTGTGTGCGGGGGGGGGGGGGGGATGACTGTCTTTGGTCTGTCCTGAACCAACTGCCTGCCAACTTTTTGGGTGTTCCTAGTTCCTCCTCTCCTAGGGAGACTATCTGGGGCATGTCAATCACTTCCTCTGCACCATGCCTAATCCTGTACATGCTTCACGGAAATGAATGCAACCTGCACAAGATCAGCTCAGCCTTATAGGAAATCTAGAAGCTCTGTACATATTGAGAACCTGCCATCTCAACTCCAACCCTCCCTCCCCACTTCCTTTTCTCCTTTTGCCATAGGATGAGGAAGAGGAGATCAAGCTGGAAATCAACATGCTAAAGAAATATTCCCATCATCGAAATATTGCAACGTATTATGGTGCGTTTGTAAAGAAAAGTCCTGCAGGTCAGGACGACCAGCTGTGGGTACGTATCTAGTTCCCTCTGTGCTTTTTTGGCACTCAGCTACTCTCAGTTCCCTTTTGGGGATGACTTTGTTCCTCTGTTCTCTAGTTTACCCTGCTCTGTGTCCCATTCCTTCTGAATCCCAGTTTAGCTGGGTAGGTTCCCAATTTAATGCTGGAACTGGAGTGTGCATGGTTTGTTCTGCATCTTTACTGCCAGCTGGTACACTCTTTGCACTCAGAGTGTGCTTGGCCGGTGCAGGTCCAGCACTGTGGGGAAGCTGGCTCGGGCGCCATGGATGGGGGCTGTGGCGAGTGCTGGAGGAGAGACGCGTGCGCCAGGCAGCATCCCCTGGGCCTGTCCGCCTGCTGCTGTCTTCCGTGGAGGATGCTGTCCCATCTCCGCCACTGAAGAAAGGTCCAGCAGCCAGCTGGGTGGTTTCCTGTGTGTGCAGTGGAAGGGGCACCATCTTGGTCTTTGGCTCAGGCAGCAAAACGCCCGGGTTGCTGGAGACCCATCAGATGACCTTGCCAGGGGCGGCACCCTGTCTGATCCAGCCTTTGGAGGCCCCTTTGGCCAGGGCCCTAAATTGGCTGCCTTCTCCGGGGTGCCCACCTTCTCACCCTCACTGTCACTGGCTGCTGCTGCTCCTCACCCTCTTTCTTCTCGGTTCTGCCATTGCCGTGCTCAGCAAGCCCAGAGCAGGTGGCAAGGGAGCAGGGGCACCTGGCAGACCCACCGTCGTGTAGGCCAGAGAGAAGTGAAGGTGGACGAGCAGGCTGTGAGGAGGAAGCAGTGGGGCGAGCTCTGGGGGGCATGCCCATGAGGCCTTGCTGTGGGGCGGAGCACTGGTGCTGGCCTGGGCTATGGGGAACTGCCCAAAGGAAGGGATCCACTCGCCTTCCTCTTCAGCTGTGTTCTGTGGGCAAGTAAAGACATGTTTTTCTTAAGCAAGCATTTGTCCCTGCTGTTGATTTGTGTGAACTGCCTGCATGAGGGACAAATGTGCTATCAAGGTGGGAGTTTAATGTACCGAATTCATGTACGGCAAAAGCATATATGCGAAATCGGAGGGCAGGAAGGTACTTCTGTACAAATGTGCTGCTTGTGGGTTTGCCACAGTTTGGCTACTGCGTGACCAGAATGCTGGACCAGAGCACTGCAGAATGCTTCGACTTTTCTCCCATTGTAGGAAGCTACTACATGCAGTTCCTGGGCGGTCTCCCCTCCAAGTTCAGGCCAGCCCCAGACCTGCTTAGCTTGAACACAGTGATGCTTTAAGTACATTCAAGCCATACTTCGGGACTAGTTTGCTCTAGTAACTTTTGATTGGGCCACCAACCATTAAATGTTTTTAACAAACTTCTCCCTTCATCATCGTATCTAACTAGCAGATTTGATTTCCACTTGCCCTTCTGCATTTTGCAATCAAACCATGTTTTTCCCATTCCCCAGTTAGTAATGGAATATTGTGGAGCTGGGTCTGTAACAGATTTGGTGAAGAAAACAAAAGGAAACTGTTTCAAGGAAGACTGGATCGCATATATATGCAGAGAAGTTCTCAGGGTGAGTATTGTGTGCATGGTCAACAAAAACAGCAGGCTCAGAGTCCCTAGAGCATATCTCTATTTCTCCACCCTATTTGTGGGCAGAGAAACAGAGGAAACCATTTCACCGAATTTCCCCAGCAGGAGGAGAAATTCTCCAACAATTTCCTTACAGGCTCAACTCGTTTTTAATTTTTTAATTTTTTGGGGGGGTGGGGGGAGGTGTGCTGCCCCTACCAGTGGTAATGACATCCATTTATCCATCACAATGCAGATTAGTTCTCCAATGTCTTGCACACTTTTCCCCATGAAAGAGGCATCCAATTTTGTGTCTTGCTCTGAAGCCATTTTATAATCTATTTCCAATTTCTTTTAGGGGTATTCCTAGCCATATAAGGTGGAAGAGGGTACTGTGTGTGTGTTTTTTTTTTTCTTTCCTTCTATTTGACATCTCTGCATTGCTGTGCAGCCTCCCGGGCTGTCTGCACTCCTAGAAGTTTCGGGGGTGTGGTGTGGGGAGAAATTATTTCATGCCTTCCCTTGGGCTTCAGCTGAGGTGCAGGAAGCAGAGGGTTGCCTGGCTGACAGAAAGGTAATAGTAAGGCAAGATAAAGCCGACAGATAATAGTAAGGCAAATAAGTAAGGCAAGATACTTATGCACACGCCTTGGCTATCTCAGAAGTAAGACAAACACGAGACTTTAGAATCCATGAAGAATCCTCTGAGATTTTCCTAAGCTCTGAATTTCCTTTTGGAAGCAATTTATTCTCTGTCAAATTGAATGGAAATTGGGTTGCAGGGGGATATGGGAGAAATGTTCAGCACACCGCACTAGTTGCCGCAGAATGTGCTTGAGGACAGAGCTGGAAGGGATTCAGTGGCATCGCCTAGAAGAGGACGTGGCCGGCTGGGACACTGAACGACTCCCTACACCACTTATAACCGTTCAACTGCCATTATTGCAGGTCCCGCTTACAGCCACTCAACTGGCAAATCCTTTTCTTCCTTCCTTCTTTCATACAGTGCTTTTTCTATTAACAAGGCAGATGGCCTTGTATGGGAAGTGGCAGCATTTTTGAAAATGTAACCCTGGAGATTCTGCACTGCAGCATATTACCTAGCGAATCAAACCTGGCTTGCAACTCTATTGCTCAAGGGTTTGGGTGCCTGCTTCTGGCGTGGCCAGTGACTCTCCACTGAGCTGCTTGGATCGCATGTGAGGCTGGCAACCGTCAGAGGAGGCCAGCAAATCCCAAACCTTCAGCACTGTTATCAGAGGCCCATCTCCGCATGTTCCCACTGAGCGAATCTGCCAGCGCCAGCGCCTCTTGCGTGCAGGCCCTGGAGAAGTCTCCTTGGCAGGAGAGGATACCATTTCCTATATGCTTAATTTAATATTACCATTTGCTTGTATATGTTGTCACTATTATATTTTGTAAGCTTCCCAGAGAGTCATTCTGGCTAATGGGCAGGGTAGAAATTTAATAAATCAATACAATAAAAATTTCATTACCTACAACAGGAGTCCTTGGTTGGAAGAGAGGTGGAAAGGGGCAAGAAAGCTCAGTGTGATTTTCTTCTTCTAGGGTTTATCACATTTACATGCTCATCATGTTATCCACCGAGATATCAAAGGACAAAATGTGCTCCTAACAGAAAATGCTGAAGTCAAACTAGGTATGCATTTTGGATGGAAACTCTTCTGTGCTACTGAATCTATCCTTCCTATTATAGCCTCAAGGAATGGCCAGAGGATAGTGTTACTTTAAGTTTATCAATAGCCTTATGAAAAGACCGTATTCTTGACAATAAAAAATTTAAGTGTTAGGTTTTCTTTTTAACTCTTTTTCTTTGTAACACTCCCTTGGAAACATACAGTAAACTTTTCTCCTCCTGTAAAGGAAATCACCAGTACCACTTTATGGTCCCTCTGTGAGAAGAGCCAGTGAGTCCGGAGAGTGTTTTTAAGGATTTCTGATAAGTACATGAAACGGCCACATCATTCACAACTCTCTGTCTGGTTCACATGTGCAGTGTTTCCATTTCATGGCTGTAGCTCAGGGAATGATCAAATGCAGATGAGCCACTGCAGCTGAGACAGCCAATCTGACCCTGCATCTCCAATCCATGTAAGCAGCTGCAGCGCTGGCTCAGTGTAGACAAAATAAGAAGCCACCCTTTCCTACTATAACGTTGAACCCTGGCTAGCATCCTTCCACCTCATTCTTCTTTCTTCCTGGGAGGTAAAGAGTGAAACCTCCCATTATCCACTTTAACCAACCCATAATTCTTTGCGACACCCAAGCCTGAGGAACTGTGGTTAGTGGGAACAAATCAGAATTAACCCATGGTTTCAAATCTTGGCTTCTCCTCAAATTCTAAACAGAAACACAGCTTCTTAAGTTTCTGAGATTAAATTAAAATCAAAGGTTTACAAAAGAACAAAAGAAGCAAGGACAGGATGTGCTAACTTGAAGCTTGCCACAGCTTATTCCAGTAGAAGGAAATCATAGTTTCCTGTTTCACTTGAAGGGAAGCCTATCTCTGCATGTATTGCTCATCTGTTACCATCACCTTTCCTCCTTCCCCTCTGTGGTCTGTCATTGCTGATCAACAAACTCCTCTTTTTAACCATAGTGGTTGAGAGCCTGGGACTGGGACTCAGGAGATCTGGGCTCTAGCCCACTAACTGGGTGACTCTGGGCCAGTCACAGACTCTCAGCCCAAACTACCTCACAGGATTGTTGTGAGAAGCTTGAGAGGAGAACGATGTAAGCCACCCTGAGTTCCTTGGAAGGAAAAAGGTGGAATATAAATATAATAAAGTTCAACATATATTGATGACAGAATAGGACAACAACAAATATTAAAGCTTTTGCTCAATCATACAGATAGATCAGTGATCTGAATTTTGATCAATTATGTGCCTTTACTCAACTTGCATAAAAAGTGTGTGTAAATAAATCTTCCATTCTGAAGCGTGCAGAAATACATTCCTTATTTTTCGAACATCCGCTCACTGCCTGGTTGCCTGCATTGCTTCACACCTGCTTGGCTTTTGCAGTGGATTTTGGAGTGAGTGCTCAGCTGGACAGGACCATTGGCAGGAGAAATACGTTCATTGGAACGCCCTACTGGATGGCACCCGAAGTCATTGCTTGCGATGAGAACCCAGAATCAACATACGACTACAGAGTGAGTCTTGCTGGTGCTCCTCACGGGCTTCTTGCATACCCTCTGTCCAAACACTTGGCCACAACAATTTAAAAATCACCCTTTGCTCTCACACGCAGCCCCCTTTGCTCTCCCTTTGAAAAGAAGGGTTGTTTTTGCCTTCTCCAACTGAACTTGCTGGGCTCGGTACCACACCAATCCATGTGCCTCCTCCTCAGAAAAAATTGCTACCATTCTCTTGTGCAGCCAACCTTCTTCCTTTACCTATGAAGACCATTTCAGCTTGGTTTGCCTTCTAGAAATGAGTTCCTGCTTTGGCCAGATTACAAGTTGAAAAGCAACATCCTCACTTTGCTGTTTGCTTCCTCAATGCCACTCTGGTCAATTTTTAATAAGAGATGAGCAAGAAATGTGCATGCAAACCAAAACTGTTATCCTCCTAAATTTGCACTTCTCTAAATTTTGCAACAGCATTTTCCAGTTTAAAGAGAATACATATTTATGCATGCATTCATAATATAGTGTTCAAAGATGCATTATTTTAAGAAAAATGCTTGTAAACAGTGTATGTTGGGTAGGCGTGTGTACACAAACGAATGTTTTAGGAGAAGTGAAGAAAATATTCCCATGAGTTTTTACGTGAACTTGAAAAAACAAAAAAATCTTGAGGATGAAACAAACTTAAGACTGGAAACAGGAGAAACTGGAATTGATAGATCTGCTCGCTTTAACTTCCTCCCTTCTCTGCATCGCTGTCACTTAAAATCTTGGCTAATAAGCAGGCATGTTCCACATTCATGATTTAAGGGCAGTGGCAGCAGTGGGATCCTTCCCTTGATCATGTGGTTGGAATTGGGTGCAGTTAACCCAGCATGGCTAAGATCAGGCCTGGACCCACCAAGGCAAATTAAGTCCATCAGCTGTTGGCTGTTCAGCCTTTTATGGATGTGCACATATGAGCATCTGCATGTGTGTATGCACACACATTTGGCCTGCTACCTATTGTGGCAGCTGCAGACAGGCAACACCGAGACTTTCCATGCTCCTGGTAGGCTTGTTCTCCTTGGAAGCATTCGTGATTCAGGCCTGCTTTCTGTTAGCGTTCTCACTGTACTCGCTGTCTTTCTTTCTCCAGAGTGATTTGTGGTCGCTGGGAATCACAGCAATAGAGATGGCCGAGGGAGCTCCCCGTAAGTTAGTTATGCTTTTCCACTTGTTTCATGTTCAAACCAAGCACAAAATATTGGTTAAATATGCATCTTTCCAAGAATTCACATCCTCAAAGCTAGTGCACTTGTGGCAGCTAGACAAAATAGATTCTGTTGATTGCTAAGCGTAATTAATTCCCCACACACATCCAGAAACTAACCGAACTGCTGCTAAAACAAGATTTTTTTGGCTAGTATTCAGCATATGTTAGTGTAACCTATACCCTCTCATCTGAGGGCAAGCCAGCATAAGATGCTTATCACATCAGTTCCACAGATCCCCTTCTCCCACTTCTGCAGCTGCCAGGGTTGTGGCTTTCTGGGTCAAATGGTACAGAGAGAGGAGCTTACAAAATAAGATTCCAACATCTGGGGGAAATCACACAACTTGAGAACAATGTGCCTGGTTTGCTTCTTCACTTGATTCCTGCAATGGGAAGTGAAGGACCATGGGTACAAATGAGTCAACATTTATTACATGGATTTCCCACCGAGTTTCCTGCAAGGAACCAAGCTGGCTTGACCTCCCCTGTCCTCTCAACAACCCTTTGAAGTAGGTTGGGCTGAGCACCAGTAAATGGCCCAAAGTCACCCAGTGAGTTTGATGCCCAGTTAGGACTAGGATCCAGTACTCCCAGACTCCTGCGTCCTAGTCCAGCACTTGAAGCACAGTGCCACGTGGACCAATTCTTACAGGATGGGGAACATCCCTTTAAAGCTTTCATTTAGCTGTCGTCGCATAAAGAAATGGGAGTCATGTGACTCCCACTGGGGAACATAAATAGTGCTTTCAAATCACCTTGTGCGCAGTGCTTTTCAGTGGAAACTTTTTGCACTTTGGCTGCCAACCGCCAAGTCCACAAAGTAAATGAATGCGATCAAGTGATAATGTGCATATGTGAACCAGGCCAAAAATGTCCTATTTGACAGCTCATGTATACTTTTGTTCTTTCTGTCTGTCTTTCAGCCTTATGTGACATGCATCCCATGAGGGCTCTGTTTCTCATCCCACGGAACCCTCCCCCAAAACTGAAATCTAGAAAATGGTAACACACTTCTTTTTGATGGCTATAGATGCTAACAGGTCAGCCTGGACTCTAGCGCTGTCTGGCTCCGTCTGCTTTTCAGAGAACTATTGAAAGTGTTCTGGATAGCAAAAGCATTGTGACCTTATTAAGCCCTCCAGCTTTAGTGGTTGTTTTCATTCAGGTCAGGCCAGGAAGGGACCACAGCTCAGTAGCAGAAGTCCCTGGCTTCTCTAGGTAAAGGGACAGATAGCAGCTGATGGATCCAGACTAGCTGGACCACTATTCTGGTGTAACCCAAGGCAGCTTTCTGTGTTCCTAAAATAAGTCTGAAGTTAAGTTCGTTCTTCAATGGAAAATGCTGTGACTAGGTTCAAACAGTGTGGGTGTAATGGGTTGTGGTTGAAATACGGGTTGCAGTATTGCCTGAACCCAGCTGTGCTAACAAACCATGGGTTGTTCTGCTTGTTAACCAGAACAACCCATGAAGAAGACCCATGATTTATTGCTTAACAAACCATAGTTCAATATTGCGGCTGGGTTAAGGCAGCAGGAGCCCATGCTCAGTACATGAGTCGGAACCTAAAGATCTATCAAGGGGTTGAGCATGCAAGGCTAGATTCTGTCAGATTTAGGACAGACAAGCGGCAAGCTAAATGGCAACTTCTTGGTTCTCTGAGATACTCTGCCTGGTTTTGTGACCTTGATGATGAGCCGCTTCAACTGGCATTGAAAAGCAACACCTTCCTACTTTTAAAACCCAAACAACATCAGCAGCTATACATTTTTCTTGGGTTCCTCAGTTAGCTGGAAGTACCTTCTCAGCAGGCCACAAAACACAGGTGCTAAGAGTCATTGATGGGAAATAGCCAGCAAGTACCTGAGCACCAAGGTCAGGGGCAATGGCCATGATGCAGTAGGGCCAGAGGCAAAGGTGGGAACAGCAAGGGTCACATACCCAGCAAGGTATAGCAGGTCCAGAGGCAAACATGAATGCAGAGCCAGAACCAACAACAAACAATACCAGATACAAAAAAGACATGGCAGGTCTAAAAGCAAAGGCAGAGTCAAGAACAGATAAACCTCGGATACCTGGCAAAGCCCGGCAGGCCCAGAGGTGAAGACAAGGCTAGGAGCAGGCAAAGCATGGTAGAACCATGGTCCAGGAACAAGCAAAGGGCAGAACCTGGCAAGGTGAGTTCCTGCTAGGCATGCAAGGTGGAAGGCAAGAAGCAGAACCATCAGGAAATAAGGCACAGTCAAAAGCAAGGCTGGAAACGTGATCAGGAAAACCACATATGTGCCACAAAGCCTCCTGCTGGGTAGCAAAGCAGGGCATCGCAGGGAAACCTTTTGCAGAGCCTCCCAGCTGCACTGCATGATTGCATGGGGCCGATGTTACATGTGCTGCGGTTCTGATCCTGGTCCTGCAGGGCGAACCTTTTTTCCATCACCTCGTGGGACTGTTCCATGGCTTCAAAGCCTGACAAAGATGCTGCTGGGAGAGCTTCAGCTTGGATAGCTGTAACCACTGATTTCTGGGGCCAACTCAAGGTGCCAGTATTTACCTACAAAACCTCAAATGGTTTGGCACCAGCTTACCTGAAGGATAGTCTCCTTTCATGTCATCTCTACAGGGTTATTTCCAGGTGTTGCCACCCAATGAGATGAGACAGGAAACTATAAAGGAGAAAAGTCTTGTGTTGATGATGCTCCATTTTTTCAGTGTCTTCACACTGTGGTCTCTTCAGTATTTTAAACCTCTGGGTTATATTTTAATGTGTTTGTGTCTTTTCGTATCTTTAAAACTGCAACTGGCTTTCACTGCTGCGGTTTAATTGGCTTTAAACTTACAGTTTCAATATCATACTTGTGCAATTGATGGGTTTAAGTTTTGGTTTGGGAACCAGCCAAGGAACTTTTGCTAATGGGCAGTACAGAAATGTAATTAATTAATTGATTGATTAAAAGGATGTTCTGACACTAGGACTAAGAGTCCCATAATGCCTTGTTCGTTCCCTTTGGCCTCCCTTGTGAGCTGTATGCATAAAAGCTTGGCAAATCTTGTTCAGGCCCTCTGTTGAGCAATTTAAGGAGAGACTAGAAGAAAGCCCTGAGTGACATGTGGTTTGCTTGCAAGTGACATCTATGTTTGCTGTTTCTTTTTTAGGTCAAAGAAGTTCCTTAATTTTGTTGACAGCTGCTTGGTGAAGAACTACATGCATCGCCCACCCACGGAAACCCTGCTCAAGCATTCCTTCATCAGAGACATGCAGAATGAACGGCAAGTGCGCATCTTGCTGAAGGACCATCTAGACAGAACCAGGAAGAAGAAGGGAGAGAAGGGTATGTTGGATGACACCGCCAGTGACATGCGAATTAACTCGAGTAATATGCTGCATGGAAGAGAAAGAACTGACAACCAGTTTGCACATCGAGTGGTAACAAGCTTTGGCGCACCACTCTTCCTTTAGTACGCAGGTCCCGTAGAAGTATTTGTCCACGTGATACTTAAATTCACACACATGCAAAATACTCTGCCTTTGCATATATGCCCTGGGATGCCAAGGCCAGAATTTCAAAAAGATTCACTCACTATTTGACAAATTCCCTCTCTAAATGAAGATAAGATAATTAAGAGAACTTTGATTTTTTCCCCTGAATTTATGATTCAAAATCTCCAAAAGCACTATAAAGAGGCTTCGGTTTGGATCCATCCCTTGTTCAGGAGTAGGTCACTCACACAATAAGGTTTCTGATCTTACCACGTGGTTTTCCCATTCTCTCCTTCCCCTGCAGTGTCTGGCATGTCCCACAGACCCCTTCCAGGGGTTCCTCAACACTCCAGCGGAGAACGGGGGGGTCTCAGGGATCAGCAGAGAGGTCGGGAAGGTGGTCTTTTTCAGTTGTCCCCTCCCACCAGCAGAACCGAAAAGCCCAGCATAGAAACCTTGCAGGCTGCTCAGGGCCTCCCCTCCATGGCCTCCCCTCCATAGCCATTGTGAAAATGCATCTCTCATCCCTCCGCTAATAGTGCACAGAGGAGTAGTAACAGTGTCTGCAGGCTAGTTACTTTCAGAGGCCACAAGGATGTGAATTTAGAGCAACAAGGATGCTGCAGTTCAGCGAGAGCAGAGCTGGTGAGTTTCTGAGCAGGAGGCCCCGAGGGTTCAAAGGAACACAAGAAATGTTTGAAACTGCAACAGGAATATTCTAAAATTCCAGCAGGAAATCAATCATATGTGTCCAGAATTGAATTTTGCACAACTTTGGGAATTTGGATTCATTCATTTCTTTAAATAGTAGAGTCAAGTTTATTAATAACCGATAGAACACCAAATACCAAAACATAGAAACAGAGTGAGTATCCTGAGCCATCTAGTCTGACCCCCAACTCCAGCTAGCTCTTCTCGTGACATGCCTACCATGTGCATGTCCAGCCTGACATTGAACAATCTCACTGATGGGGCTTCAACCGCCTCCCGCGGAAGCTCTTTCCATACCCTACGGCAGTGGTGGCGAACCTACGACACACATGCCACAATGGGCATGCAGAGCCCTTTCTGTCGGCACGTGAGCCAAGTTGCCCCAGCATCACCCCAGCAGTCGAGCATCGGAGAACAGCGCACATAGGGGCCATGCGCATGCTCAGAAAGGAGCAGTGGTGCCAGGCGATGATGTCACAAGCCGCGACTCATTAGCCACGACTTGTCCGAGCTTTCACATGGCCAGTCAGTGCACTGCCAAGGACAGAGAGATAGAGAGATGACAGAGATAGATATTTGCTTGGACTGGCTGTGAGTTGTTTTTTCTAAACTCAAACCTCAGTATTCAGGTTTTATTGCAGTGTTCGCACTTTGCGATAAATAAGTGGGTTTTAGTTGCAGTTTGGGAACTCAGTCTCTAAAAGGTTCACCATCACTGCCCTAGGGATCCTAACTGTCAGGAAGTGCTTCCTGACATCCAAACTGAACCTTGGTTCCCTGAGCTTTGCTCCGTTGGAGAGCGTCCTGCCTTCCTCTGCAGGGGAGAACAGGTCTCTACCCATCTCCGTGTGACATCCCCTCACATACCTGCATGTCACCAACAGATCCTCTCTGAGTCTCCTCTTCTCCAGGCTGAAGAGACCCAGTTCCCTCAGTCTCGCCTCATACCCCACCCTCTACAAACTGGCCACCAACCTTGTGGCCCCACGCTGCACCGATTCTCACCTGGCTATATCCTTTCTGTAATATGGAGCTCAGAACTGAACACAAAACAATAACAATAAAAATAATTCCAAACAATGAGTTCTGGTACTCAGAACAAACAGCCAGACTGAGAAGCGTTCAGTTTTAAGCATATGAATTTCAGTATTTTAGTAGATTTGCTTAAAAAAAACCCTGCAAACCTAATCCAGCAACCAATGTATATCCTCTGATATAAATGTTTTCCTATATTTTGGGACAAAATACTGGACAAAAACTGGTCCCAAGTGTTCATTCCGGGGGGGGGGGGGACCAGAACAATCCCCAAATGAAAGAGAATACAAATCTTCACTGCAATTTTAGAGTGTGCTAGTGAGTGTGCATGTGGTAAAGGGATGGAGGGAGCACACTCAACTTTTGTGTCAGTCCAAAAAACAAACCTCTCTGAAACTTCTGCGGGACCTTGGTGACAAGTGGGTACATGGCATAAAAGACTGATAATTCAACCAATCAGGTTAGGACAAGACTTCATCGTGGCCATGGGCAGGTTTAATCAATCATTAATAATTGTTGTTAGTCGTGAAGTTGTGTCTGATCCATCACGACCCCATGACAACATTCCTCCAGGCCTTCCTGTCCTCCACCATCCCCTGGAATCCACTCAAGCTCATGCTGACTGCTTCAGTGACTCCATCTAGCCACCTCATCCTCTGCCGTCCCCTCCTTCTTTTGCCCTCAGTTGTTCCCAGCATCAGGCTGTTCTCCAGGGAATCCTTCCTTCTCATTAGGTGGCCAAAGTATTTGAGTTTCATCTTCAGTATCATTAATAATAATCAAAGGCAAATTCTTAAGCATGTTTAAACAGATGGCAGGTTCACACAATACAACAAGCTATGGTGGAGTTTTTATGGTTGGTCTGTCATATCATGCCAACCCTGTTGCAGTGTTTCTGCACAGTATGTTTGAGTTTTAGAAGCTGCGACAGGGAGCAGCAGCCTGCTCTATGGTTTTCATTTTTCATTGGGTTTCTCTAATTGTCTCAGCCTGACATGGCTCCCATGCTCCTGGTATGCAGCTACCATAAAGTCCTCTGGAAAGAACGGCAGCTGCAGGAACCATTCCAGCTACCCAAGATAAGACTGAAGTGCAGGCATGGTAGCTAATGGGATATGTGCCAACAGTGGGAGGACTGAACAGGGAGGGTGGAAACCATGCTAGCATAGAAACCACTTGATCATTGTCTGGCACATCCAGGCAAAACCACTCAGGATTGCTTGCTGTGCTGTTTCAAGAGTTAAAGTCCTTCAGTTACCAGTCTGGCTGTCTGGGGAATTGGAACCTGTGGGAACCTGTGGGGAATTGGAACCTGTTTTCCAGTCTAAACATGCATGGGTGCATGCCCTTAATAAATCAGTACTCCTAGTAAGCAAAGTATAGAGATTCCACACATTTGAGAGCCGGATAGCTTATAACAATAATCGCTATGCCTGTGCACAGGGGAGGGATGGGAAGATACCTGGAGCAATCGGATTTCTCATTTGGATTTGGTTCTCTTCCCCCTGCCTCCTTCTCCATTTAGATGAAACAGAATATGAATACAGTGGAAGTGAGGAAGAAGGTGATGAGCTAAATGAAGATGAAGGAGAACCAAGGTTAAATTCTATGGAAATCTGTGTTGTCTTATTTGGCTGTGTCTCTGCGCTAGCTGCTCCTGAGTTGACCACATGGCAAAGCAGCTTGAGAGGCCGACACAGGCTCTGCCATGTCCGCAGCAGGAGAGATGGGGAAAATAGCATCCAATGAAAGAAGGAAGGTCCGCCCTGCCACTAGGCAGAAGGAGGTGGAGCCATCAGGCAGGGGACACTGGGGGATTGGTTCAGAGCACATCATATGGCCTGTGCTACCTAAGCCAACCTGTCGCCTTCAGGTGCAGTAGGAGGTGCTGCCCAACAGCCACTCACCTGTCCCTCTGTTTGGTTTCTGTAGCAAATATCTTGGGCCAGTCCTGCAAGGAAGTTGAAGGAACTGAGTTATGTGGTCCAACGGAGAGAAAAGAAAGTTGACACCCTACCTAGAAAGTTGACCACCTACCTAGGATGAGGAACTGCCCATCTGTAAAAAGCTACAGTAGTCAATGTGGCCAGAAGAAAAAGTCCAAGATCTATATAGTATACTGCCAAAGATCACCAAAATGTGCATGCTTATAAGGCCTCTATGTCTCTTCATTAGGCATTGAATTGGTTTGATAAAGGTATCCTGCTGCATGTAGTTTGCAACTTCAGAGATCACAAAATGAAAGAATCATGCCAGACATTTGCCAGGACCACTGAGTTGGAAGCATAAAGCTAGGACATTGTTTCCCACTTCCATCTCAACCAGATGGACTTCCATGTAAACTCAAAATATATCCGAATCCTCTTTTGTTCCCTTTCAGTGTTTTGTATGGAATATAAAGTGTGAACAGATGCTAAAAATTTGTTTTGGGAAGGCAACAGTGAAGCTAAGTCTCCAGTGAACAAACAGATAATCAGCTTTAGTCTGGATTCTAAAGAGTTGTTAAAACATTGTAAATACAGAGAATGGCTGGGGAGAGAGATGTGGTAGAGATTTTCTAGAACATTCTAATGCTGTAACCTAGGACAGCAAACTATTCCCTAGTGGCACTTCTTGTGTTTACGGTGTAGTCTTAATCCTATAGTTACTCAAACAGATATTTCCTTTCTCTCTCTTTTTTTAAAAAATTAAGCTCCATTGTTAATCTCCCTGGTGAATCCACCCTCCGTCATGAATTCCTGAGGCTTCAGCAGGACAGCAAAAGTCGTTCTGATTCTCAGCGCCAGCAGCATCCGCAGCTGAAAGACCAGGAAAAGTACAAAAAGCATCTTTCGGAAGAGAGGCAGAAACGGATTGCAGAACAAAAACTGCAGAGGAAGAAGTTGGAGGATGTAGGATTTGGACTCCGATTTGTTTTTTCTTTATTTTTGAAGGGCATTCATTCATTTAAAAAAAAATGGGAAAGGAAACCAGGTTTGCCTACAACACATTTGTATACCATAGGAGGATATGTTTTACCAAATTTAACTACAGCAGAAATTCACATCAAAACTGCAGCATTGTTAATAAGTTGCTGTTTTGTTGTTATGGAGTGCCATCAACACACATAAGCTTAACAATAAACAGAAAATAGCAGAGAGAACAACTTCTCTGCTCGCTCACCCTGCAGCTTATGATCTAAGGGCTCAGCTACACACTGCATTAAAGAAATCAGCTGTAGGTAAGCTTTTCCTTTTCATTCCCAAGTACGTGCACTGGGTTCCAGCGGCAGAGGTGTGAGCCTTCCCACCAACCACTGTCTTCCCTATATCCTCCATACATATATAGGGGGTAACAAAAGAAGAATCCCCCCTCCACTGGTGTCCGTAGCATTCTCCTTTCATTTTCAGGTCCCACAATGGGGAGGGATAATTGAAGGGGAAGAAAAATACTGGTTTAAGCCTCCCCAACCCATGTGCTCTGGTTCTGGTTTGGATCAAGGGCAATGCGCTTACCTGGACTCACCTGCATGCTCTGTGCTTAATGTACTGTGTAGTTTAGCCCTAAAGTTCAACAGTGAGGAAGCAAGAGAAAGGAGAGGAGGGTTGGGAGAAAGAGTGACAACCAGATGTCTAAAACTCCCTTTGAGCACATCAGTATGATGCTACTTTTCTCCCTTCAAATCCTGCTTTGTCTGCAACCTTTCCACAACTAGGGGCTCTTGAGATACAGAAACACAGAAGCAGAGTGAGTCAGAAGGGACCTCCTGGGCCATCTAGTCTGACCCCCCCCCCCCCGGCTCCACTCATGACATGCCTACCATGCATATTTTAGACTATGACTCCCAGCACCACAGTCATCCCTCATTGATCATGCTGCCTGGAGCTAATGGCAGCAGTATTTCAAAACATCTGGAGGGTACCAGAGTGGTGATGGTTCACAGAAGAGGGACTGGGCAGAGATGGCACCATTGGAAATGTGATGACCTGGGAGAACATGAAAACTTTAGAGGAAACTGGGTTTTGCTCATTTCTCCTGGGGAAAAAAGTTAACGAAAGTCAGAACAAGTGTCCCCCCCGCCCCACACACACACACCTGCTTTCATATCTGTTGATGCAGGGGCGTGGTCCTAAAAGGGACTTTTCAAGCATGGTGGGGAAGAAATGGAGGAGGCGGCTACCTGGTGTCTAGGAGCAGTAGAGCAGTACATTCATTTCACAAAGAGCTTTGGATTAGTTGCACTCAGCCTTGCAAGGCCATCGCCGCACAGGACGCAGCTCCTGTCTGCATCTGCCCCCACACACCGCTAGTGTCCAGACTATGGCATGACCCATTCTACTCTCCACTGGAGTTGTTCAGGACAGGTTTTCCCATGCCACTGTCTAGTCCGCATTCTAGCAATGGTAACATTAATAAAGATGGACAGATGCTTCATGCATTCTTCCTTCACGTATATCATTGTATGTTTCAGCAAAGCCAGATGCTTTCTGCTTTGGTGGGGTGGCAGTTAGTGGGGAGTGCAGCCCCCCCAGATCATCAAGCCACCTTGGTGCAGAATTATCCATAGCGGCCGTGTGACCTGACTAATGACCCCTTTATGAACAATCTTGAAGTGCAGATGAAATGGACACTCTTTTTCCCTCCTGGCACGTGTTTAGCACCAGAAGAGAGAGGAGCTTCAGAAGCATCTGGATTTTGAAAGATGTCCAGAGATGAAGGCAGCTCAAAACAAAGCCGAGAGGGATAAAGATGGCAGAAAAAATAACGAAGAAGGGCGGTGCAAGGTAGATGGAATTCAGAAATTGGAAAACCAGCAGGTATGGATGCAGTTTTGCCTTGATTCTGTGACTGGAGGCCCAGTTTGCAAACTTGCCAGGTCAAGCAAGCCTCTTCTTGGGTTGAAGGAGCCGATGCTTTTCTGCTCTGCCATCACCCAACATGATGAAGGAGGCACTCCAGGCAGGAGCACATGCACTGATCACGGCGTGACTCTTTTGCCTTTGTAAAAGCGGGGAAGGAGTGTGATTGGGCTGCCCTGCGGATCATCAATTTTACATGGTGGCTGTATCTGCATACATGGCTAAGCCGTGGTTTTGTAAGTTTGGGCTTCCCAAGGTCTCCTAGCCCAGGCCTTCCAGTTGCTTTAATCCAGGATTGATTATATCCTTTGTGCGGCAAAGGCTGAGACACTCGAGTTGGAAGTAGTATCATACCAAGACTGTTGCATGTGAGCTGGGCAATTTGTCTGCATGATTCACTTGACGCAAGGGATTCTTCTTCAAAAGGAATAAAATAATGACTCTCACTGGGCAGGTTGCATAGGTACACTCAGTTGCCCAGCTTGTGTATGATATGTTGCTGGGGCTGTATAAATTACTCCCCCTAATGGCCAATTCAGGTGGTGACAAAGCCAGCACGGGACCTTTGAGAAACAAGTGGAGCACATGCCCAAGGGGATCCCTCTTCTGTATGTTGCAGAAGTATCCCTCCAGAAAAATACTTGTGGGAAAACATCCTCAGGGTACAAAACAGCAAGTCCAGTGATGGCAGAACATACCCAGTGGCCACAAAATAGAGTGTGAAAACAAAACAGGAAACGGCTGCTCTGGGAAGGCAAAAGAGGATGCGTTGTCCTAGGAGACGCCATGTCTACCTGGCAGGAAGGCTAGGCTAAAGCTCTCCGTGCTGCAACCTTCTTTGCTGGAGCTCCCCTCGTGATAAATAAGGTGGCTTCTGGAGAGGGTTCAGCACATGTTCCAGAGGGCTGCTCACCATCCCTGCTGCACCAGGGCCTTTACTGTGGTGCCTCCATCTAAGCATCCCAGAGTGGATCCAGGAGTAAGCCCAGGATTTGATTTTCTGTAAGCTTTGGCTTGCCTCTCATCACCATAAAGTTCTCTGCCAGTGCGTCATTCTCGCCATTCTGTGGAGAGAATGCTGGATGATTCCGTGGACCACTGGGCAGATCCAACATGGGTTTTCTTATGTTTTGTTTGTTGGTGAGTGCAGAAAAAGGTTGAAGAAACACATCAAATGAAGAAGCTTCATCGGACCCTCCCCAAGGACCAGACGCAGCTGCTTTCTCTCCAACATGATCACAAGCAGAAGAGTCAAGAGCCTCTCAAGATTGGCAGCCCCCTGGCCTGTCGTCCATCAAACTGTACAAGGAAAGAGGTATGATGCCGTTATTGGCAGTGGGCTCTTGTCCCACAAATGGTCAGTGGCCCTATAACTTTTTGACAAGGTGTCGTAAAACCAAATGCTTTACATTTCTACTTGGAAGGGAAAAGGAAACAATGAGATGGATTTCAGCTGTCACAAGGTTAGGGACCATTTGCTTCCACCCCAAGCTTGCAAACAAATGGATTGGGCTGAAAAGAAAGGTGTTTGAGAATTCGGGGTAAAAAGGAAATTGAGTGCTTAAAGGGGGGGGGGAGTGGGCAGAGCATTCAGGGTGGAGAAACAATTGGGGCTTGGAAGGGGAACATTTAAGCTCTTTTGGAAGAATGCATGGCCCACACTGAGGCATTTTGATATTTCCACAATGTAGTTGTGATCAAATAGGCTTCATGGCCAAGTGGGAACTAGAACCTGGATCTTCTGAGTCCCACTGGGGCCCTCTACTCACACCACCACACAGGATGAGGAACACTGTTCTTTTTTTTTTAATCAAGTCTTATTATTTTCTCTATGAATCCAAAACTAAAAAACAACAATTATTCAGGACATCGGATAAACTGGGTCGACATCGCGCTCCTTTTTACATTCAACAACCATATTCAATTCACCACATAGTCCCGTTTCTCTAACCAATGATAGAAAATGTTCCAAGTTTGATAGAAGTCTGTATCTTTCTTCTCTTTCAAAGACAAGGCCAATCTGTCCATCTCCGTGCAATCCAAAACCTTTCTTAAAACCAACTCCTCAGTAGACAGCTCTTCGCTTCTCCAGTGTTGAGCAAATGCCGTCCTCGCCACAGCGGTTACATGTAGAGTAACACTGTTCTTGCTTAGCAATACTGTCACTCCTCAATAGAATGAAAGCTGCTGAAAGCTGCTCCTTCGTCAGGCACCCCCATTTATTGGGAAGCAGATTGGCCGGATGACTGGCCTTATTTGCACAAGGCAGCTGAGCTGGGGACCAAAAGGGGCCTTTTACTGGTCTTCAGGCTTGGGTCTCTCCAAATCCTGGAGCCGGCCCTGTTGCAACATATCTGGGAGAGTCAGTATAAATTAAGCGGGAGTTGATGGGGTGCTTCTGCTGTTTCTAGACTTCAGGGAATGACAAATGCAACCCTGTGTCATCTTTTCAACTTCATCCTTTACAAAAAGGAAAGAAATTTTAGTGCAGGCAGGCGGGGGACACATCACATCACAAATGTCAGCTCCAATATTCATTTACGTCTCTGGCATGTTTTCTGTAAATGACCTCTTTGTACTGGAATAAAATGCATTGTAAAATTTAGTCTATGCCATTACTGTTAAATTTTAATCCAAATGTACGGTTGCAGATTTCTGACATTAGCAGTTGTAGGCAGTGAGTCTCTGTTGGAAGTGTCTGGCATGCAAAAGAAGTGAATGGAGGCTGACATAAATCTGCCGTTTCTCTTGCAAGCGCTGATGGTGCCTTATCTGCGTCTCACACCAGAAACGCTGCTAGTTTTGCGAGCCCTGTTGGTGTAATTCCATTCACATCGTGTTGATTTGGGGAGGGGCCAATGGGATTTGCAGGAATTCATGCAGTGCTTTGAACCATTCCACCCACCCCCACCCCGAAATAATAATTACATCTTACAGAGCCTGTGGTCATTTCAGCAAATCTCCTGGTGTCATATTAATAAGAACACGATCTTTGCTCAGAAGAAAGTTCAGCACCTTCTGTGCTTCATCAAACCCACAAAAGAAATCCCTGGATATTTTAAGAGGGGTTTTAAAATAATCATGTGTATGCATCCGTATCAGATGAATCTGAAAAGTTTACTGGAATGGCTGGTCACCAAAAAGAAGAAGAGGAGATCCTGTACACAAGTTGAACACGTCGGCTTTAATTAGCTCGCTCTCTTCCTAATCTGCTGCCATCACCCCCAATACAGACAGACAGATCGATACTGAGGCGGTCTTCCCCCAGCTTCTTTGTGGGTAGGAGGCCAAAAGAAATTTCCAGGGGTCAGTTTGGATTGGGAAAATGTTGTGAGGAAGAAGGTTAAATGGTCAAAACACCCCCATCCCCAGTGTGCACACACCTGATGGGCGCAGCAGCTTTATAATGCCTTGCCCTGTTTGCCTCCCTGTGGGACTAGCGTGCAGAATGGAGCCTGGCCTCCCTTTCTGAGAGGGATTCCTTTCAGCCCGACAGAGGACGTAACTGAGGTGTGTTTAGGTCATTCCTTCTTGCCTGGTCTTGCATTTTTCATTTAGTGTGGATGCAGGGGTGGGGGGAGTTGCTCCCTTGCTTGGCACTTGCCGTCGCCTCTCCCCCGCCCCGCCCCCCACCTTGCTTATGCTGGATCCTGGACTGGAAAGAAGTCCTGCAGCCATGAAGAAGAAAGGAGCCATGGGAAATGGCCTGCAGGGGCTGAACACCTCTCTGGCCTAACATTTCCCCCTGCAACTAACTCCTGCTGTTTTCATAGTAAACCCAGCTGGGATTCCATGTTTGCAGTGAACCTTCTAGTTCTTAAGAAAGACTGAAGTATGAGCAAAATGGATCATAACAGGTTGGGTATGGATGGAGGGAAGATGCTTAGAAACCAAGTTCAGGGAAAGAAGGTGGGATTGTTTTCATCTCAGGGATATCCCAGCCGGCAACATCTTATGTTTTCTCAGAGAACTGGATAGCATCCATTCATCTGTATGGGAGAAAGTAAATAGGCATTTTGAGAGATAGGAGCTAATATTGATGGTTTCCCTACCAGTGAGAACCTGCACAGCCCTGCTTTTTCATTGTGTAAGTCGTTCTACCTTGATTCTTTTTCAGATCACACAGGGTGAAACTGAATGCTAGGACATATTCAGCCAAATACTTTCCTGCAATGATTATTTTTAAGGTTACATTTAAGACCGCTTCATTTACTTTCAGTTCCAGCTCACCCTCCAGTAAAGACCTATGACGCTCATGACAACAATTCTCAGCAGCAGCGGCATTATTATTATTATTTTACATCCCAACTTTTTTTCCTTTCAAGGAACTCAGGGTAGCTCACATAATTCTCCTTCTCCTTCCAATCTTATCCTCCCAACAACAACCCTGAGCGTCTGAGTGGCCGAAAGTCACCCAGTGAGCTGAAGGGGACTCAGACCTTAGATCACCTGAGTCCCAGTCCCACACTCTTAACCACTACACCACACTGGGTCATAATTCTCTTTGAAGTACCAAGTAACTGGCAAATCAACTTTCCAAGTTTCCAGTTCATATGAGAATTTTATTCTGAGGCTGCCAGTAATGTATTTCAGCACTTAATTTCTAATTCTAACTATGGTACTGGATACGAAAAATGGGATTTAAAATTATGAAAATGCCAAGAGGAAATGACACAGTCAAATCTAGTAGAAAACAGTCTAAGCCAGTGCATGTCATACCGCAAAAGTTCCAGCTGTAATATCAATACTAGTAGTATGTAAAGTAATTTCTTTGTCTAAAAGCTGTAATAGCAGCACTGAAGATCAATATAAAATAAAATCCAAAAGGAGAAGGACTTGCAAAGGTACATCATATATTGATTGGTCTGAACTGTCGGTCATGGCAGAAACCATAATTTGATAAACTGAATGCAGAATGTCAAAATGTATACAGTCATTGATCATTAGAACAATCTGCAACAGAGGTCAGTGGAAGCTTAGGCAAACGATCTGCTGTGAAGAAATACAAAACTGTCTTTTCAGTTATGTGTATTGTTGCTGGATGACAGATTTTCGATTTTGTTGGTTGGTTTAATTTTGTTGGTTTCTTTGGTGGCAAGAAGCCATGGAATGCGGCATCACCATAAAGTCTGAGTGTGTTTCTCTCTGTTGGTTTGTTTCCAGATGGAGAGCAAGCACAAGAAGAGTGACAACGTCCAAACTGATCTCAGCTGGGCAGCTGTTCTCGGGCATGACGTCGCCTCTCATGGCCGACTGGGTTCTGGCAGTAGCTCCAGTCCATGCACGCCGGCTTTGCAAAGAGCAGTGATGGCTCAGGTAGGAAATTTTCATCATTCTTTTGATCTAAAAGTCTCTGAGGTGGCTTGGGTATGATGCCAAACACTGATTTGTTCATGCTGATGTCCAGATGAGCAGAAACATAGTTTGTGAGTAGCCACCAAACCAAAAGAGGATCTCTGCAAACTTGAATGAGTTGCAGCTGTGCCAACAGAACTATGGTTTAGGTCCCCACGGGAGGGCAACAGATCATCTTCCAGATATTTTGACCTACAAATCCCATGGTCCATCACCAGTCATTATGCTGGCTTGGACTGATAGGAGTAGTAGACCAAAATGTCTCAAAGGCTGCAAGTTGTCCACCCCGATGCAGGGTGTTGAACTGCCCTTGGCGACTGCTGCTCAGTGATCCCGTGCAAGTTTCAAGTAAGATGGAGAAAGAGGAAAGCCATGCATGCCGTAGGTTTCTTGCACATCTGGAACACAAATCTGAATTCAAAGTCTAAACTATCCAAGGCACAGGACCTTGTTTTAAATAGCATTAGGTGCAATCTAGCTAATGTCACTGAGCAACTCAAACCCAAGGAAGTGCTAGTGAAACAGGTTCCCTAAAGAAGCTAGCATTTGAAAACCACTGCTCACGATTTCCAGATCTTTGCAAAAGTTGGTCATTCTCCAGTGGAAGGACCCTAGCTGAACAGAAAAACAAACATCATTGACTGCAGAAGGTTCTGGTTCATTCCCTGTCCCTTTAGTTAAAAGGATTGCAGGTAGCAAATGCTGAGAGAGGGGCAGATTTGGGGGAAACATATATTTTCTTCACTGCTGAGATATCTATGCCTTCTTCCAAATATATATTCCATTTTTACACCTATCTTGAACAGGGCAATCCAGTGTTTTCATTATGTGCATTTTCTGTATTTCACAGACAGAATGTAATTCATACAAAGGATATTTGAAATACGGTTTACTTTCTGAGGCTCTGATACCCTGTAATTTTAGCCAAGCTCTGTCATTGCCAAATCAAGGAAGAAATGTTTTTTCTTTTCCTTGCTCCCCTTCTCCCCTTCTTTTTATCCCCGTCATGGCCAAGAACCAGCCAGGAGGCTGAATTGGACCGTGACAATCAAGTCTTTGTTGATACCATATTTCCTGCTGAACAATAAGCTTGGATGCAATGCAGGCATAGCAGGATCTACTTAGATGACTGTTATTTGTGATGACATTAATGCCTGCCTCACTGGAGCAGTTCTAGGATATTATTTTTGCATGTTTCTCAAAAAGCCTTAGAACCCACCTGCTCCTGTATTTCCATCAGAAATATTTTATTGTGCATAATTCATGTGGCACGGTGGATGTTTCTTGCGTTTTTAGCAAGACAAGCACTCTCTCCCAGAGCGCTGTGCTCCAGCAGTCATGGCAAGGGTTCCAGGCCCCTCTTGTCAGCTTGGGCTGTGACCTCAGTGGGTCGGACCAGCTCCCCTTGAGTGTGCAGCTAAGGCAGAGGCCTTCTGCATCCAACAAGCCACAGAAATTCCTGGTTGCTAGGGGGTTTTGCTACCCTTGGCACCATAGCAATGGGCATCTCACTTTCATAGCCAGGTGTGAACCTTGGAGACGAGGCTGGAGAGAGGAGACACTGTTGGAAGGGCGGGGCAACGAGCAACAACTTAGCAAGACCAGCCTTAAAGCTCCTGGCTTCATCGTCCTGAACCACCCTGTGCAGGGTTGAGCTGAAAGTTCTCTGTTGAAAACCTGTGCCTCAAATTTGCAATACAGGTGTAGGGTGGAAAGGGGGCCAAAAGCTTCCTTCTCGTTTCAGGCCTCAACTTCTCAAATTGCCCAGATGGCCACCCTGTTGTAAAATGTCCACAACCAGGATCCATTCTGGATGAGCCCTAGTTTTCTGGCTGGTGTAATTGCCACTCATCTGGGCAGTCTCTGGATGCCCTTTGTCATGAGCCCGATCCTTCAAGCTTATACTCTGGCATTCTGACAAAAGATGTCCCAGATCAGCGACTCTTTTATTATAGCAGATGCCACAGTGAAAGCATAACAGTTGCACACTTCAGAAAAAATGTTGTTGCTGCTGTTATGTGCCATCAATTTGTCTCCATCTTCTGGTAATTTTCTGAATGAATGCCCTCCAAAACGTTCTACCCATGACAACCCAGTCCAGCTTTTGTAAGTTCCAGGCTGCGGCTTCCTTTGTTTGGTCAAGGAAATATAGCTGGTGCCATTGAGTGGGAGGCTCCAGAATTAATAACACCATTTCCAAAGCAAATAACCATAATCTTGTCTGAAACGCAAACAAATCAGCTTCTCTTTTGTAAACACTGTTGCATGTAATACAGGGCAAGGGGCATGAATGATGCCTGGGGTAACCTTTCTAGGTAATCAAAGGCAAATGTTCTAGAAGGAGACCTTTATAAATCCACATGCACAGAGGTTTAATCCAACTTTGGAATCTTCATTGGAACCTCTGTGTGACATAAGGCCAGGGCTATCACATTCAAGAGTCAAAATAGGTTCAAGAGTAAGTCCAGGGTAATCCTACACATACAGAGATTTTGACAACGATAGCTTCCATTTTGGTATCTCTGTGCTATGTGAGTCCATCAGGCATTGAAAAATCCAAGAGTCCAAGAGTCACCTGGCATCTCCAGCCTACTGATGCTGAAGATACACAACCGATAGCAAACTAGAAGCCGTGCTTTCTTTAAAGCTTTGCAGCACTTTCCATGGCAAGGTTCATAGCAATACCAGGTTGAGAAGATGAGTCCAACCTGGAAGGAGAGTCCATGTGAAGAGCACCCAAGAGGTTCATAGAATCACAGGACCGCAGAGTTGGAAGGGTTCCAGTGATTGGGTTCTGCAATAACAACTTCAAACAGAGAGGCTTTAAAGGCGTTCCTAGCAAAGTCTCCCAGCCTGCCCATTTTCACAAAAGCAAAGGTGGGGCCTCTGCTCCTACCCAAACAGGGCATCTCCATCTGGCTCTCCTGAGTGGACGCCTCGGCCTGCGTGACACAGCCGAAGCTGCCCAGTCCACTTCCCATGGAGAGGCTGCGACTTCCTTTTCTGCCAAGGCTGAAGCCAGACAGGAGTACCTGAATTTCCATCAGTGGAATGGGCCGAAACTCTTCCAGACCATGGACCTGTAGATGGACCTACAGAGGCACCACAGCACTCATCCACCCAAGTTGCCAGTGGCGTTCTTGGTGATGCTGACTTTCAAGCACTTTCAGCCAATTTGTTCTTCTGCCCCTACTCAGCAGCAACTTGTGGTTCAGAATATCTTTTAAGTATTTTGCTGAATCAGAGTATTTTGCTCTGAGAAAATGACGGGCAGGCGGTATCTTGATAACAGCCTTGTGAATCCTCCCCTCACACACCAGAGCTGGGTGCTTTTGAAAGCAGCTTGACACTACCAACTGGTCCGGTATAAATAAATACTATCATTAGTTGCAATCATATTGGACAAAAAGGAGGAAAACAAGACTTTTAAGTACCATGTTATTAGATGCTATACCTGCTGAAAAAGCTGTTTTGTGGGGAAAAAAATGAAATGTTGCCAAGAAATGAGAGAAAGCAGCCAAGAGCCTTGCTGGATGAAAAGGTCTGAAGCCAAAGCTGAGAGGAAAATATTGTGAGTTTCACAAAGTACAGAGCAGATGAGAGTTTGTGTTTCTCCTCCTTTCCACTTCCCCTAAAAGTGATCAAGGTGCAACAGTTCCCATGAATAAAACTTTGGAGCCCCATCAAAAAGAAAAGAAATCCAACCTGACATTCTGACTTGCTCTGGTGGCTGCCGCATTGTTTCCCCACAATGCCCTGATGTAGCTTCACTCCAGAGCATTGTGGGAAATCAAACTGCAGCAAGATTTAGCCATGCTGCTTCCTGCAACTGTCAGACAAGCCAAAGTGGTGGCCACAAGCAGGGGAGGGGGCGCACAAAGGGGCATGAGGGCAACTGAAGGTGCAGCCAGCGGCTGTGGGGCTGCCTTGCCCCCTGCTAGGAAAAGAAACTGAGCTGTAATCCTGAGCAATTAACTTCACGTGGGTGAAAAGGTGCAGGCAAGCCGGTCTTGCTCCAAGCCACGTGGTAGGTTGTGTTTACAAACTATGGCTGCCAGAGAGTCGAGCCCTTTTAGCATGTGAGAACTATGTAATGCCTAGTTCTGCCTTCTTCTCCTTCTAAATGTTTAGCTGCACAACCCAACCCAAAGCCTCTTTCTCGAAAATAAGCCCCTTTTGAATCCAAGGAGACTGACTTTTAGTTCATTGTGTGAAGTATTGCAGTCTTAGGCTACTTAGCTGCCTTGTTCATTTTATGATGGGCTTAGAAAATAGTCTTATGCCCTACGGCATTATCTGGGGAGCCATAGAATATCTCTCATTTCCAGGCCCAAGGCAGGAGGTGGAGAACTGGCCTGGGCCCTCCCAGCCAGCATGGAAGAAGCCGAGCCAGCTGCCCCTCCGCAGGGCAAAGGACCATGCCAGTGGGCAGGGCTGGGAGAGACTTGAGAGACCAGGATATGACATACCCCTCCCTTCTGAAACCCCACAGCAAGACAGCCAAAGCCACCATGCAGGGAGATGCAGAGCAGAGAAGCACTTTGCCTCGCAGCTCAGGGGCTTGCAAGCATCAAGGATGCAAGCCACTGGATTGTGCTCTTAGTTGTGTGATCCCTTGCTGAATTCTCTGGTGGACACCGCAGAATGAGATTGAAGCTTGCTTCGGATTTTGGCTCGAGCAGAATTATTCACCCCATCTAAAAAAAAAGAAAGACTTCTTTGAAGTGTCCCCAGCATGCCGCAAATCCCTTTTTATTCCTGCAAATGTTAGTTTAGTTTTTGAATTCACTTGGAGTCCAGCAGTTATCTGCGTGTTGTGACCAGCAGTTATCTGTATGCTTTGACCCTAAATCATTTCTGATGCAGAGGCAAGAAATGCCTGCTAACGAGTAAAGAATACCCCTTTGGAGAGCTCCGTTGCTTCTCAGGATGTGGATCTGACAGAGCAGCAGAACGAGACTGCACATCTGCAGGCGTTCCTCTCCTATTTCTGCCAGGGCTATATTGGGATGGGAAACTGTGCAAGCCCCATGAATCAGGCTCTCCCTGTCAGTGGCAGACTGCAAGGGGGCAGGGAAGGAGTTCCGGGGTTGCTAGAGGGGCTGACGATCCTGGAAGAGGGCTTTCGGGGTTCAGATCCCCATCACCACTTGGACTGCCTCATTCATTCCTGCACCACTGCTCTGGGTTTCCCTGTCTCTGTCAAAGACTTGGGCTTCAATCCAGGAGACTGAAGAGGCAAGCAGCCAGGCTGCCTGATCAGGTTTCCACAGGCTGGTGAGATGTAGCGCATTTCTAGTTAAATGATCATTGTCCTTTCTAAATTTGCATCTCTGGCATAGAAATTAACATCTCCAAATACTGTACCAATCCCTGCCCTCTTTGTAGATGAAGCATTTTTCCCCCTTTGGGCAATCTGTAAGCAGCCACACAGTCACCGAGGTCTCTGATGGCACAGGAGCTGGCACAGCTACTAATTACACCTATTGTGACTGTTCTTCTCCTCCTCCTTCCAAGCAGACCAGGACAAAGGCTTGCAAAGTAAAAGACTTTATTAGTTAAACCTGACCCACTTGACTGGCTTTGTAGCATAAAAGAAGACTATTGTGGAAGACAATCACAAAAGAAACAAGCAAAGTTAGAATATGGGCCATTAGGGAAAAGTGGCTTAAGGTTATGAAGTGGATTCCAATGGAATATCCTTCTTTCCCCCGCCCTCCCGAAAAGAGCAAACCATACCTTAGAGGTGAGTCCTTTTGTTCAAGAGTCAGATTCTTGGATCTTCTGAGGCTTCTCAACTGCTCCGCCCTCTTAAACTCACATGGTGTCCTTAGATTAATGATGTTTGGCCCTCTGTCCTCCCTATCAATTTGCTCACTAAACTTTCCCAGGGAACTCAAAAATGTCTGATTCACTTAGTCCATCTCTGGGTCTGCTGGCCATAGAGTTTCAGTTGCAGGTCTGGCCCACCCTGTACAACAGACAGAACCTGATTTCACAACCTTGGAAGACTCTTGTGCAGGGGAAGCGGCCCCAATGCCTCACAGAATTAATCTTCTATTCAATGTATGCTTTATTTGCTTGAAGAATGACAACCTACGGACCAGTCGAGATTTGTATCATAGCAGTTCCTTGTCCGATGTGGCTGTAACCCCACTAAGCTCTGGCCAGGACGAGGTCTTCTGGAACATATGTCAGCCTGAAGAGCAACCTCCCAAGGTATCGGAAATGCCTTTGTCACCAATGAATTTGCACGGGGGAGGGTATGATGGGAACCATCATTGTGCAAATGTGTTTCTTTAAAAATATCGAAGTTTTGTTCCCAAGTAAACCAAGTTCTGTATATAAAGTAGACCCATTCTAAATCCCATGAAGAAGATGACATGATGAAAGGTGTCTGGATTTGCTTATAATTTGTCAGCACTCATGGAGGGATAAAGACCCTGAATTCTCCCTTGCATGCTGCCCACAAAGTCCTCCTGCTTTTCTGAGTTTGGACCAAGAATTATCCATGGATCTTCCAGCTTGGTGCTGCAGCCTGGAAGACAAAATGGTTTCTTCTAAGAAGAAAAGTCTTAAATGTTCGGGCTTTGAATTCTGAGCATGTTGCCAAATGCTGATTTTGTGTGACCTGATAGCAGTACGCAACAGAACAGAGAGGCACTCCCAAGAGATTGGTGTTATACCTGTCGGTGATGCATCTCTGTTAAAATCCACAGGATCTGTTCTCTTGCTTTGGAAATTAGAGGACAATGGATCTGTTCTCTTGCTTTTAGAGGATAATGCCATGCACCTTTTCTAGAAAGGGAGTCCCATTATATTCCATCGTGCTTTACGCCCCAGTGAATGTGTTTAGAAAGGGTGCAAATTTGTCTGGGCAAGCTTCAGAGCATGTAGGAGGAATTCTGAGTAAATGTGCATAGAATTGTAGAGTGCCTTTCTAAACTCAGTCAAAGTATTAGTTAGTTTCACAAACCGAACATGCTGAAATAATATCACACACTCAGTCAATCAGTAACAGGATTTTCATTTAATTAATTGATGGATTGATTTTTGCAGCACCCCCCAGCCAAAGCTCTTTGGCAGTTCACAACAGCATGTTAAAGATAACAATCAAGGATCTATCGTACACATATTAAAACATTATAAAATTTTTGCAGAATTTAAAGCCAAATTTCAAACAGATTAGAGAGAGAGTGTATGTGTGTGTGTAACATTTGAAGAAAACTCTGAAGACCAGCTAGCAGGCCCCTGTAAGCTACTTGAATGCCTTGCAGTAAAGAGCAGTCTTTACCTGGAACTGAAAAGATAGCAAAGTTGGTGCCAGGCAGGCCTCAGTGGGAGGATTGTTTCAGAACTAGGGGAGCTACCACCGAAAAGACCTTTCCCCTTGCTGCCGTCATCTGAGTCTTCCTCAGAGGTTCAGTCAGAGAGAAGCCCCAGAACTTGATCATGGTGTCCGGGTAGGTGAAAGTCAGGAGAGACATTCCATCAGGGGTCATGGTCCCAATCCATGTTTGGATTGCATAGAGTGGTTTGCTTCTTGAGGAGTTTGGATGAGCGATGAAGGACTGAAGTTAAGGTGCTGCTCCTTTTGTTTGCGTGCTTAAAAGTAGTGAGCAAAAGCTTTTGCTTTATATCTTTAAGGTTCCACAAAGGACAACCTCAAAATTTTATGCCAGGGATCATCATGGCCATCAGAGTTACCCGTCAAGGTAAATTCTTTGCTGGTTCATCCTAAAACAAACATCAATATACCGGATGTCTGTGCAGCAGGACTGGGGCACCTCTAGATGGTGCACTACCATGTCCAACATCCCTGCCTGGCTGGAGTGGATGGGTACTGGAGTCCAACATCACCTGGAGGACCATAGATTCTCCACCTTGCTGGGCAGTGGCCCAGGCTTAGTGCAGTGCAGTGGGTCAACTGCTGTCCACCTGTTAGACTGTGGAGCCTGGATTCAGGTCCCTGCTCTGCGGCAGAGGCCACCTAGGCCAGCCAGCCTCTCTCGTCCTACCCATCAAGGTTGTTGTGAGGTTTAAGTGGGGTCAGAGCTCATGTGCACCACCCTGTGCTCCTTGGAGGAAGGAAAGGATTTAAATAGAATACAAATATTTCTAGCAAAAGAGAAAACAGAAGCGAGCTCACTAAATCAAAGCCATGGTTTCCAAAAGTCATCTTGGTCTATCCCCAAAGGCCTGTTGCAGCACAGTTTTCCTTATATCCCACCTTTCCTCTAAGGAGCACTCGAGACAGCATGCAGATCCTCTTCCCCTCTCCATTGCGTCCTCTAAGCAAGCTTCCTGGATGAGCAAGGATTCGTATCCGCACCCTACAGCTCCCATCCTGGAACCTTCTCTTTGTTGGAGCAGCACTGGTGACATGGGCCAGATCGCTTTCTGCGGTGCAGCTGGTGCCTACTCTGTATTCTTTTTGGCACCAATTCTCCCAGCATTTTAACAGTTTAACTTCATTGTTTAATAGCGTCTTTTACTCTGTACCCCTGCTATGCATCTATGCTAATTCAGTTGCAATTGCTATGTGTTTTACAGTTTTAAAACATTTGTGTATGTGTTTTACATTTAAAAAAAAAATAACATTTCTTAACCACCCAGAGAGCTTCCAGCTATTAGGTGGTATAAGCGTGAAATAGATAGATAGATAGACAGATAGACAGACAGACAGACAGACAGATGACAGACAAGTGTTCCAAGGCCCAAGTCAGACTTGCCTGGAATGCACTGACAAGTGGAATTGCATCTGATCTCGGAGCCCATTCTACCAGGTCAACCCCAAATAAGCCTTCAAGAAACCCCACCAATCACCCTAAATGCCCCTTTTCCACCCTACCCCTTACCTAGATCCATTGGCATTGTTCCCATAGCGATGGCAGCAAGCGGGAGAATTTTCCGGGCTGTGGGTGAGTGGAATGGGGCATTGAGGGGAGACACGCAGTGCTTCTCCAGCCAGATTTTAATCCAAACCCGAGAAGACTGTTGGGATCATAACACCACTTGGTATTTGAGTGGCTTTAAAAAGTATTTGTTGATTATGTTTCTTTACTGGCCAATAGCTGAAGCTCGCTGGGTGGTTCCCAACAATAAAAGCCATGAAACACCCCATGTTAAAGAATGAGAAAGCTTAAAACTACAACATATCGCAGGCATGAAAAATAAAACCCAACAGCAGTGCAAAGACTTAAGAGTATAATAGCATATTTTAAAAGAACAGAAACTGAGAGACTAAAGTGCTTGGCAAAATAAAGAGGTCTTCACCTAGCACTGAAAAGAACACAATGCCAGCTACATCAGGGAGTGTGTGTGTGTATGTTTTTTGTTTTTTTGTTATTTTTGTTTTTTTGTTTAACACAATTAGGGTGCCACAACTGAAAAGGCCCTCCTCCTAGTTCCCTCCCAGTACAATTTACTTGGTGGGGGAGTCTCTCAGAAGGACCTCTGAAGATGGGAGGGAGATTATAGTTCAGGGAACTTGCTAAGTCCCCCAAAAGCTGTAATGACAAGCCTGGGAAAATGAGTCTTAGCAATATTTCTAGCACTGTTGCATATTTAAAAAGCCAGCGCCACATTACTTAGCCACTCCAGGTGCGCTAGGTTTTCCCATCTGGAGATATGATGATAACTCCCCAGGGATGCTGAGCGCCTCCGCTGCGCTGTTTTTAGAAGAGTCTTTCCAGTCCTAGAACAGAACGTACAGAAGGCACCATGATAGCCTCCTCTTCTGGGATTAGGTCTTTGCTTTCCTTCTTTCTTTGCAGCTCACAACAGACCCCCCTGGGGGGACACGTGGTGAAAACCAACAGCAGCTGCAACAGGCAAAAGGAGCTGGCCTCTCATCCAAAGAGCCGATTGACTTCAGGTAATCCTCAGGTTGTACTTTCAGCTGTCCACACAAACAATTACTGTGTATCATTTCCATTCCCAGGGGGTTGGAGCAGTGAAGCAAGCTCTGCTCCCTTCGTTTAAAAGTTTGTTCAGGCTTCTATCTTGTTGATGCGATTTTAACCGTCTAGTTTCTTAAAAACCAGGCTCATTTCAGCTCCTGCACTTCAATCCCGAATCTGAAGTGGCAGCCTCCTGTCTCCTGGAACTTTTTATTTATTTATTTATTTATTTATTTATTTATTTATTTATTAAAACATTTCTATGCCGCCCCTTGCCGTAGCCTCAGGGTGGCTCACAACATAATAAAATACACAATAAATTAAAACATTAACAATTAAAATATATACATTGGAATAAAATAAGCTGCCCTGGCCAAATAAAATTCAATGATATTAACATTTAAAATGCTGCTTAAATAAAAAGGTCTTCGCCTGGTGCTGAAAAACAAATCACGACGGCGCCAGGCGGACCTCTCTGGGGAGCGCATTCCATAACTTAGGCGCCACCGCTGAGAAAGCCCTCCTCCAAGTAACCACCCTCCTAATTTCCTTCACTGAGGGCTCCCGGAGGAGGGCCTCTCCCGCTGGTCTCAGGGGGTGGGTGGGCATATATGGACATAAGCGCTCCTTCAGGTAACCTGGACCCAAGCCGTTTAGGGCTTTATAGGTCATCACCAACACCTTGAATTGGGCCCGGACTTCAATGGGGAGCCAGTGAAGCTGACAGAGAACTGGAGTCATGTGAACATAATGTCCAGTCCCCGTCAGCAGCCTGGCAGCTCTATTTTGAACAAGTTGAAGTATCCGGACCGTCTTCAAGGGTAGCCCCACGTAGAGTGCGTTACAGAAGTCAAGACGGGAAGTCACCAGCGCATGTGTCACTGTCGCAAGGCAGTCGTTCTCCAGGTAGGGGCGCAGCTGATGAATCAGCCGAAGCTGGAGGAAAGCGCTCCTCGCCGCTGCTGTTACCTGAGCTTCGAGTGAAAGCTCCAGGTCGAGGAGCACTCCCAAGCTGCGAACCTTATTCCTAGGAGGGAGTGCAACCCCATTCAGGACAAGGTTCAATTCACCTTCTCCGAAGCCTGAACCGCCTACCAACAGGACCTCCGTCTTGTCTGGATTGAGCTTCAGTTTATTGGCCCAAACTTTAAGTGTTTGAAAGACCTTCACCTGCTCTGGGGAGCAGGAGTGCAAGATATCCAAAGGCTGCCAGTCAGAGCAGCAGCTGAGGAGAGCCAGCTCTGATAAAACCTCAGTATGGAAAGAATAAAACCAGCTCTTGGCTTCAGCTGACCTGGGGGTGTCCATGGGCAAGGGGGAACCAGCAGGGAGGCAAGAGAGGCAAGGTTTGGCTCGCAAGGTCTTCTCACCTGGCCTGCATGGGCCCTGCCCTGTGCCTGTAGTTACCTGTCTTGCTGGGAAAGGGGGGAGTGATGCCGAGGGGGTGCCTTTGGGAGCCGGCACGCAAGACTCTGGGAATGAGGTTGCATTGCCCCTTGTGCATTCGTCCTTCCCATCGGGATGCAGTGGCGATTCCTAAACCTACAGCCCTTCGTTTGCTGTTGTGGCAGCTTTGAGGGAGTTGCTCTACTGGGTTGCACGAACGGTGTGTGTGATGTGTGCACACGTCCAAGCAAAGCACACCAGGGAGTGCATGCCGGCAAGGCGGGGGGGGGGGGGTCCTAGCCTCACTTGGCCCCTTGCATGACACACCATTCCCTACCCAGGTGCGAGTGTCAGACCAGAACTGAGGCCATCAAGGTCTGGGGACCATGAAACTCACTGGATGACCTTTGGTGCTACCATTCTCAAACTAGCCTACCTCATAGGGTTGTTGTGAGGATAAAACTGGTGTGGAGGGAGGGAGCACCTGTTGGAGGAAAAATGGTATATAAATGTGTAGGTGGTATATAAATGTATGATAATCTCAATGCCTTCCTTTCAATGCTTGTTCAAGTTATTTTTTATTTAAAAAATACTGTCCCATATAAAAATCTATTAAGATTTTTCAAGATAGTAATAATCCTAACAAAAACAAACCCAAGCCTTAAAATATGGCAGCAGTATCAGTTTATGAAAGCCAAATTCAAAACAAAAGAAAAATACAAGAGGCAGCAGGTTCATTGACAAGTTTGGGTAAGTACAAGAGTGTTTAATTGAAATATAGAAGCATGGTACACTCTGATCTGAACATTAAGAACACTATTATAATTTATTGGTATTGGTTATAGAAACGTCTGCCTTGCTTTTCAAACCATTTCCCAGGGCTATGCATATATGCCTTGAGGTGGAGTGCTCTATTTGATTGATTGACTGCCTAACTGACTGACTGACTAATGTTCTTTCTGGAACATGCAGGCTCATCTGGCCACCAGCAGTCCTCAAAGAAATCCGAAAATAAGTCTCATCCATGCCGAATTTCAGTAAGTGACTTTACTGTGTATTCTCTGTTCTTGTAGTTCTCCTCCTCCTCCTCCGTCTCCCTCTTCTCCTCCTTCTCATTCGCATTCTCCTCCTCCTCCTCCTCATCCTCCTCCTATTTCTTCTTCTCTCCCTTCTTCTCCTTATTACTATTACTATTATTAATAATAATAGTATTATTATTCCTATCCCCTGACTTAAAAAAAATCTTACTTGATTTATCATGAGCATTGATAGATTATTCTCTCATGTACATGTGCATACGGGTAAAAATCAACAGATCAGAAGTAACTTTTGGTGACAATGCTCCTGTAGGGTTTAAATCAAGAGTGGACAGCAAAGTCAATAGGGAGGGAATAGCTGACTAAGACATCTGGAAGGCCACAAACTGGTCCTCCTTCTTTGATGGGATGTTTGCTGTGGGTTCCAGTATACCCAGAAGCTACCAGTGAGGTTCTTCCCTTCATCCAGAGTCCACCGTTCTTGCTCAAGGGGAAAGATGGCAGCAGTCTGCTCCGAAAATCAGCAGAGTATTCATCCTCCAGTGACGAAGTGTGCAGCAGTGAGGATGAAAATGAGGACAGCAAATACAGGAATCACATAAGGTTGGCTTTCTCTGTCTTCCCTCCATCAGGGATGCCTGATTGAAAAGATAATTGGATGTTAGTTCAGGACTGATAAATGTGGATTCTTCAGGATGAAAAACTGAGCAAACATTCTTGCTGGGGTGAGATTTTCATATCCACTCAGTTCCAAGATGCCCCACTTCCTCTCAGGTAGGGGCACAATCTGTACGTTGGAGGTTCCAGGTCCAGCCCTTGCAACCTCCCGTTAGAAATGGCATGTGGCACCAGCATTGCCCCAATGTCCGCAGGTTGCTGCATCCACTCTGAACTTTAAAGGAACTATCCATGGTGCTGACCCTGCTTTGGACCTGGAGTTCAGCACCATGAAGACCTCAACAGTACAGGCTGAATCCCAGCGTGGGTACACCACCCCACTGGCATTGTTGGCATCGCCCTCCATTGGATCACATTCCAGGCGGCAGACAAGATCTCTGGCTTCCCTGACTACAGCACCCATCATCATCAACCCTTTTCATGCTGCTTGGGGCTTATGGGCAGTGCAGAGCAAAGCATCCCAAGGTTGTTCGTTTGGGAAAGGCTGGAAATAGTCTGGCCCAGTTCGCTGTCACTGCAAAGGAAAAGCATGGATGGGGTTTAACCTGTTTCATCTTGAAGGGGTTGTAAAGGCCACGCTCACGTCTCCTTGAGCACGGCCTGCTCTGGATGCTGAATCAGACCTGGGAGGTGGGGCTGAGATTCTTGACTGAGGAGCCAGGGCCACCGAGTGGCTGGTGGGAATCCGACAGGTGCCGTGGGAAGCCGCTTCACTGAACGGGGGGAATTGGATGACCTTTATTAGTCCAACTATGCAATCTCAGATTAAAAGGGTGGGCCAGGCGAGGAGCATCAGAGGTCCCTACCAGTCAGCCCACAGGCAGCACAAACCACCCAAAAGTGGAGCCAGTCCCTTTTGGCTCGGACAGGAGAAGAGGTATTCAGCTTGGAATCAGCTCTGTATTCTGACCTTACTGGCATCTTTTGTGATAATGCACTTCTTTTGTTTCGCAAAGCCAGCCACAGTGGCTAGTTTTAGCACAATCAAGAATTTATGCCTCTTGTTATGATCTGATGGATACAGGCAGCCTACATAGTCCAGCTCGTGACTAGGAAAAAATTAAGATTCCTGCAGCTGTTTAGTGATAGGAGGAGGGGGGGGAAGGGGTCCCTCAGACTTTTCCTTTCTTTTGTATTTTTTCTTCTTCTGTTCACTAATTGGCATTTGTTACTAGGCAACCACTCAGCAATGGACTGACGGGTTTCTCGAGAGAAAAAGTTCCAGGTGGAATCGAACTCAAACCTCACAGTGCCGCAGTGGATCACAAGGTAATCCAAATGTATCAAAGGGACACCCCTCTGCCTGCAATTGGAAAGTACCAATTTCTGGTTGCAGTTTGGCAGACCTGGGTGTTACGACTTTTCAGCTATGTCCTCTACAAACACCAGCATGCACAGAGTGCTGTCCCATAGAAATTAGCCCTGTGTTGCAAGATTTCTTTCTTCAGGCCCTGGGGCAGAACACTGACTGTGGCCCAAGAGCCCATTCCCAAGCCTATCAGCCTGCCAGCTGAACTTGGCTGGTGAATAAGCCTTCACCTAAGCTCCTGTCCCTCGAGCGTTTGCAGTTGCCCCTCTCATTGGCCAGAAGGTGGGAACCTGCACAAGGGAAAATGTCTTATTAAAAGAAAAAACCCTAAAATGGCCCTGTTCAATCAAGAGCAACTGTGCCTGGAATTGTCAGTCTTTTGTATGCCAGTCTGGACTTTTAGATTCCATTCCATTCCCTGGTTGGAACATGCCTACTAAATATCTGTATCAGTCACGTTTGATCCCTTTTGTTTGTCAGAATTAGAGTAATCAGGTGAAGGAAGAGAATTACAAAAAGCTATGAGATCAATGCTTCATTTACACTCCTGGGGCACAGCAAAGTATCCTGAATATAAACCTGAATTTCTCCAAGTTCCCCACTACCACCACTGTGCTTCGCTTCGCTTCGCGTGGCTTCGGTTCACTTTGCTTTGCGTTGCTTTTACTATGTTACAACAGGACTAAGTATGAGTAAAAAACAAACCATATTTATCTTTCATCCAAGCATCATTCTTTTCTTTTCTGGAAAGGAATCTTCAATACTTTCCTCCCACAGATGTGAACAGTTAAAATGATCTTCTTGATAATCTTTTTCATTTCTATGACATACAACTTTCTTATTGTATGTGCATTAACACCAAGCCCGCACACCTACCCACCCCCATAATTTTGATTCAAAAATAAGTTGAGGTGCATTGCAGAAACTTCCCAAGTGCTGGACTGATTGAAATTAAAACACTCTGGTGTAAATAAGGCACAGTTCTCACAGGTGTGTAGAGGGTGGAAACCCTTGGAAAGCTCTCCCTGCACTGCCCATCTGTCTTGGCTTCCCAGACACAAGTATGCAGAAGGACTGTTGCAGAGGGGCACTCTGCACTTACTCAGGAACATTCTCTCCACCAGCCAGTTTGCAAAACTGGCCCCAAATGTTTGGTTTTTTTAATCGATTGGCTAGAGTTGTACTCTATCCCTCCTTCTACATTCATGCACAATACAGCTTACAATTATAAAAGCATACAATAAAAGTAATGATATTAAAGCCATGGGAAATGCTTTGTACAATGAAGGAGCAAATAAAGTCACTCCAGTAAAATAGAACAATAAGGATGGATGGGCAGCCAGTTCAGGTGGAGCTGCACAAGACAACGGAGCAGTGTTCAGCCCCTTGGGCAAAGGCATGTGCAAATGAAAAGGACTTTGTCCGCTGGATGGATGCCGTGCAGTCATGACACTCACTCAGGCCATTGATCCATCTAGCTTAATGGTGTCTGCAATAGACTTCCCAACATGGTATCCTCCAGATGTTTTAGACGTCAGCTTCCATCAGCCCCAGACAGCAGGATTGCTGGGAGTTGTCGTATAAAACATTTGGAGAGAACCATGTGGCAGAAGGGTGGTCTTCAATGACCAGCGGTTCCATTTCAGCCAGCAATCCCTGTTCCATTGAGAGTCTAGCATTGCTGGACACTTAAGATTTCAATTACGGAGTGTCCACTATGGAATAAGTCAGGTTCAGCTGAGTTCTGAGCAATCAGGAATGAAGTTCCACAACGAAGCAAGAAATGGAATAGATCAGCACCATGGAGAGCTCCATGTGATGGTGAGCCTGGAAGCAAGACGAGCTGGCCATGTTGCTCCAACGAGCACCAGATTGTGACTGGTCCTTGGGTATGGTTATGGCCTCTTTTAGGCTAGCTAACCTTACCTCTCTATTGACAGAGGCTCCTCCCTTGAAGGTTTGTTTTAGCGGTGTTGGCGTGGACCAGGCTCCAGCATAGAGGTATCTGACATGGCTGGAGTCCTCAAAATCTGAGGACAACACTGCAACTTTCTCCAGACACTGGGAAAACTAGGTCCTAAGGAGATGGGAAATTAATGGTCTCCTCCTGCAACCAGCCCTCTTCCTGAGCCATCAACTCAGAACAAGGGGTCGGTATCCCAGGGCTTCCTAAGGGAGCTTGCTTTATAGATGCCAGGGCCTGACCCCAAGGCTTTTGTATTCAAGACCTGCGCTCTACCACTGCTCCTCCCCAATATCAGCATGAAGATTTGGGTAAGCTTCCCTAGGAAGGAAATTCCAACCACTGGAAAGGACCCCTCTTGAGTCCCCACCAGATGAGCCTCATATAAATTTTTAAGTCTGAGCAGATTCAAGGTCCTTTAGATACTCTGCTCAAAAACCATTCAAGGTTATATAGGCTATAGTCAACTAAGGCACAATGTGGAAAGCTCCCATTGGAAAGACCATTGGAGGCTATATTCTTTTGGAAAGCTTTTCTGAATCAGTCTTAAAAGTTGCCACTTAATTATTTTTTCAGAGTTCAAAGGGGATGTGATCCTTTGACTCACGGCTGTAGTCATGAGGATGGCAAAGGGCATATCCACACTATGAACATACAAGGACTCTGAATCCAATTAATCGCCATTGCTTTCATAACTTACAAGGGTGCTGAGAATTCTGTTACAGATATCTACTCTCTCCAAGTCAGTGTTCTAAATTCCCCAGGGTTCCTTGGGAAGACAGAATGACTATTACACTGATTTAAGTCCATGGTGCAGAAAGGCCATAAAGCGGGGCTGTTGAGCTTCAGGTTTGCCAGCCAGATCCAGCCACCTGGGGTTTCCCTGGCCTCACCTAATCTCAAACTATATACTTTCCTGGCTTTTGAAGTTGTTTCCCCCTTTCTAAAAAGTTTGCAATGCCTCTCCTAAGACTTAATTAATGGCAGCATTGGGTTTACGCTAAAATATGCTGGTGGTGCTTTGCAGTTTGGCCCCTTCTCTTTGGCCTCACCTCAACCCCCTACTGGAATGTGGTACAAGAACTTCTCTGGAATCAAACTCAGTGCTCATGCTGAAGAAGGTTCCACACCCTTGCTATAAATTCTGGATACAATGCTAGGAGGAAATACGAGGTTGCAGTGGAGCAGTTGGGACCCTGGTGAGGGTGCCTGGAATTCTTTCCCAGCCTCCCACTGAAGGATTGTCTCCATAAGAAGCCTTACAGGGCTCTAGAGAAGTGTGTGTTCTGTTTTGTGAATTTTAATGTAGAGCAAGCAAGAAAATGTCTCCTCCTCATTTCCACATTTTCCAATTAACAATCTGGCTTTAAAAACATGCACTTGTTTCCACTCAGGATTCACGGTTTGTCTGCAAACATACTGGCTGGCATTCACAAAGGCTTCGCTCCAACCAGTTGTTTATCTCTTGTCATGAACCACACAGAAGACGGCTTCTGTCTTCTGTGCCAGCTATAAAACTCCTCTATGGCTTATTGCTTCAATGGAGCTTAGAGAGGAAATGGCTGTGAAACATTATCTGTGTCCATCTTGGTTCTGAATTGCAGCCACTTCCTTTCCAGAGCTGTCAAGTCTTCAAAGTTTGCTTCTTCTTTAGGTATGCAGAAATGTTGCGGGATCTCACTCTCTATGGGCCATAGAGGCAGGCAGCCTCAACACACTTTTGTCGCAGAGTTACAGTATGCAAAGTGGAAGATAGATAAATAAATGCAGTAACATATATTTCCAGCCATCACTCGGTGTGCATAAGCCAAAACCTAAATACAAATCATCTCATACACTTGCATGAAGTGATCGGTTGTATATTTTAATTAAAAATAGGTAGTTGTGGGTTTGTGATTGTGTTGGCCATCTCAATACATTTGCCCATGATCCTGAGTCCTGGAAATAGGGAGCATGCCAATTAACTAAGAACTGGGTAGATTCTGCCCACAAGCTTTCCCTTTTGTCCTGGTAACTAAAGGTTTAAAGGCACACTGTCCCATCGCAAGCATACTTTCTTGGAAGAATGTTCCACCAAACTCCATGGGGTTGATTCTCTGGTGAGTGTACTCAGGCCTTGTTCCTCGCAACCCCTATGTTGACTTCTGGGGAAGAAAGGGTGTTGTTACGTAGATCTTAACAGAGATGGGGTCTCTGAGATACTGAATTCTTCCAGCTTCAATACTGACTTCTTGAGAAAAGACCACTTCATTACCCTGCTTCTAAGATGCTAATGTTTCTTTGCCTTTCCATCATGGGTGGTTGGGAGGATAGATGAGGTATCACTTGTGAAAAGCTCTGAAGACAAACACACTGTGCAAATGCAGAGTGTTGCCAGTGTCCTTTAAGTAGTTGTCATCCATCAGAATCCCATTTCCAGTGTCATTTTATTTTATTGCATTTTTTTTTCCCGAGGCACTGACATTTCTGCCATAATCTGATTTTCATGAGCCTTGATCTACTGCAGAGATTTGGACTCCTCACATCTGCCGGTATTTGTTACTGCAAGTGCTGCCACTGTGTGCTGGGTGGAAGGCAGCCCAGAGCCTTGCATGCCACCCTCACTCGGGTCACCAACCAGATCTTAATGTGTTCTTTGGTGCAGGATTACATTGCAGGAAAACTCAGCTGTGGCCCTCCTGAAGGCCTCTGGAGCATGAGCAACCAAAACTACCTTCTCCCAGACCTCTTGCAGCAAAGCCACATTTCAGACTGTCCAACCCACCAGCTAAAGACTCCAGGGAACAGTCAAGAACCTCAGAGCAAGCCTGTTCCCAGCAAGGTAACATTTCCAACACGCGGTTGCCAGTTTTCGAGGGGCAAAGCACCCCCAGGGAGCCTACCTTCCCACTGCTTTTATCATCTGTTCCTTCTGCTCCCCTTCCTCTTTCTCATCACAAGGAGGCGGCCCCTCCTTCTCAGTACTGCCACAGTCCGAGCCAGAGGGAGAGGAAGGTGAACATCAGGCAGGAGTGGTAATGAGGAGCAAGTCCCAGATGCTCTTGGCAGTGAGTCCCTGCTGGCCTGTGGGCCATCAGCAAGTGCCCAGCATTGTCTACCCTTGGTGCCAATTTCCAGATTCTGCTCTCCAGATACGAATGCTTTCAAGGCTGACAGTCACAGCCAGCACTCTGTGCCATATTACACCAGTTGCTTCTTGATTGCCAGCCAGATTGCCTAGATTTAAGCCAGGGGTCGCTTAAATTTGCTGCACCATAGCCTTGTGTGGGGCGGTGGTTACAGTGTAGGGCTGGAGACTTGGAGATCCAGGCTGTAGTCCCCACTCAGCCATCAAGCTGATGGGGTTGCTTTGGGAAAGTCCCAGTCTCTCAGCCCGACCTACCTCACAGGATTATTGTAAGAATAAGACTGAGAGGAGAAGGAGCATTCAGTAAGCCACCTCGAGTTCCTTGAAAAGAACAAGGTGGCGTATAAATATAATGAGTAGCATTAAAGAAAACAGTCGTGTCTTGGTGCAAGAACCCAAGAAGGGAAGTGCAAAATGCACAAACTGCTAAAGTTTTAGAATTGCAATTGCAGCTAGTTGTGGTTGTTTTTCCCCCTAAGAGGATTCAAACCATGAAGACAAGGTGTTATCGACATAACGCCTTTGCAGCAGGCTGTCGTGACTTGATCCATTCATTTCTTCCTCCTTCCTTCATTTCAGACACCAAGCACTGACAGTACCCCCTCAAAGGGCAGCTCCTCCTCGACGTCTTCATTTACTTCATTCATTGATCCCAGGCTTCTACAAATTCCCCCTCCTTCCAGTCCGACTGGACCAAACTGTGGTTCCCGTGAGTAGAGCTGATTTCGCTGGGCTATCCTGTTTTAAGAAGCATGTGGGGTTGCATGCCCTGGAATTCAAGGCAGGGATACCGCTCAGCCGCAGCGTGGATGGCTTGCGCAGAAAAAGCCCCAGCATTTCCGCCTTAGCTAGAAAAGGTTCTCATTTGAGCCACTGGAGTGCTGTTTGTTGTTCCATGCCCTCCAGGTATCTCCAACTTACGATTGCTCTCCAGAGTGTCCTATCCTTGACAGCCCAGCTCAGCTCTTGCCAACTCAAGGCTGCGGCTTCCTTTATGGAGTCAGCCCAGCTCATATTCGGTCTTCTGCTGCTGCTGCCGCCTTTGCCTTTCCCTAGCATTATTGTCTTCTCTGTTGAATCTGACTCTTGCCTTCTCTCGTGATGTGCCCCAGATGGCTTCAGTTTCATCAGTTTTGCTTCCAGGACGAGTTCTGGCTTGGTCTGATCTGGGCCCCCCTTGCTGGTCCTCCTGTCTCTCCAGGGTATCCACAAAGCTCTCCTTCAAGACCATGGTTCAAATGCGTCCATTTTCTTCCTGGATGCTTTCTTCACTGTCCAGAGCTGCCAATTAGTGTTCAGCTGGGTGAGACAGACATGGGGTCTTGAATCAGTTAAGGCCACATTGTACACTCCTAATTTCCCCCCTGACTTGTATACGCTCAGTTTGGATTTTGTTTCCCAGCTGTTGCTCAACTCTGGCAAAGAGATTCCTGTGTCTGCAATGTTAGCACAGTATGTTCTTATTTCTCTGAAGGATGCTGTTGCAATATCACAGTCTGCTTTATGCTACTTTTGAAGTCTCTGCAGAATTTGGATTGAATCCAAATATACTCATAATTAAAGTAGACCCATTCATATGAAGGGGTTTGCTGTAAATGTGGTTACATCTTGTTTTGACCCATGTAAGAAAGGGTCCTAGGGAGTGAACTAGAAGTGGCATTGAATGCGTTGAAAATGCAAATTTTTAGAACATGCAAATAGCAACTCCTGAGATCTCACTCTGTGTGTGTGTGAGAGAGAGAAAGACAGAGAAACTTATCAGGGTCCCAGCAGGTGGAGAAGGGGACCTTATCTGTGTCCTAAACAAAAACTTTCTCTTTGAAGTTGCTATTTGCTTTGGGAAGAAATCGGTCACTGACAGCACTTGAAAGCAAGAATTTTCACCAACTACAATGGGGAAAGGAAAGGATTAAATGTAAACTTTCTAGCAGCTATTACTTTAAAAAAACTAGGCATATAACGTGCAATGTTGCTTTGAATGTCTGACCCACAGATGTTCTTTAAAAAGCGGTGGTAAAGACTACAATTTGCTGAACTTCTGTCAGGGGCTGCAAGCAGTTAAAGAGAAAACGGCAAGATTTTCACAGGCTCTTAGCTTGTTTCGGCAGGCCAAGTGCCTGTTTCATAAATCCTGACTGCTTTTCCTCTCAGCATCCAATGTGAAAGCAGAGCCCACCAGTAGACAAAATGCCAGGAAAGGTTCTGTCGTCAACGTGAACCCCACCAACATCCGACCACAGAGCGATAGCCCAGAAATCCGCAAATACAAAAAGAAGTTCAATTCCGAGATCTTGTGTGCTGCATTATGGGGTAAGTAAGCTTGTCGGAAGCAAATATCAATAGAGAACGATGTTCTTAGGAGAACTGATACCGTAATAAATCAGTTTTCGGGGGCAACCATATTGTCATATGATGTAATGTGTGTCCGGCTTTGCATGTCCTCATTCCTACCCACTGCATGGTCTTGGCCAGACTGCCTGTAGTACAGCTGAGGCTGGGAAGATACCCAGTCAGAGCCATGCAGAGCAGTGTATGCTGAGGCTGTCTGGCCGAATAAGGAGAGCTGTCCTGTCAATGAAGCTTGAGAAACTGGACTTTTTAAATACCCATCATTTTAATAACTAAATTAATAATTTAAACAAAATCAATAATATTTTATACAGGCACTTTTTCTTTCTTATTCTTCCTTTATTTATTTTTGAATTGCTATTATTGTTTGCAAAATTGCTTTTATTGGATGGTTTAATTGTGTTTTATATCATTGATTGGTTTTTTGTAAGCTGTCCTGAGGCTTGGGCAAAGGATGGGTTAGAAATATTTTAGACAGATAGATAGATTAGATAGATGGTGCTGTGCCAGCAACAACTGGACAGCCGCTGTGCCATCTCCCATGTCGTGGGTGCAAGTCTGTTCTTGCTTCATCTTCCCAAGTAAAGCTCAGAGAAAGGAGGTCTTCAGCTAGCGGGGGGCCTTGTGCATCTTCCATTATGGGCAACGGTTTAGGAGCATGGCCATCTCTGATGGCGATGCTCCGTGCAGGGGATCCTGGGAATGGTGGTGAAGCTCTGGAGCTGGCCGTGGTTGCTGCAGACTCCCCAGCTGGGGCCCCTTCCAAGGGCCACAGCCTCAGGCTGCTCATTCAGGAGAGTCATACAGGCATTGGTGGAGTCCTCTTTGTTGTAAGCTGGTTGCCTTCTCCTGCTAAGCAGATCAGGACAAGGTTTTTCAAACTGATGGTCTTTGTTGGGTTAGGGTTGACCAGCTAGGATGGCTTTGTGACACAAAATAAGATTATTGCAGAAGTCAACAAAGGACATGAGCCAAGTTAGAATACTGGCCATTAGGGAAATGCAGCTTAATGATAAGAAGGCGCTTCCAAATTGAATTGTTCTCTTCCCTTCCAAACCAGAAAGAGCTGACCTTACCTTCAAGGTGGACCCTGCTGCTTATGGGGCAGTCACGTGGAAGTCTGACATTTCTCCGTTGGTCTGCCCTCTTAGCCTGACACCATATGATCAGACTACCAGTGTTAAGTCCATCCCTCCCACTTCAGCTTGTCCACTAAACCTTCCCATAGAATTAGAAACTGTCTGATTCTCAAGGACGGGCTGACATGTCTCTAGATCCATGGTCCTTGAGCAAGTCAACTGAGAATTCTGACCCCTCATCCATTTATGAATCAGCTTCTGAATCAACAACCATTAAAAACTGTTTTATAGGAGGAGTGAACCCAATCCCTACACTCCTCCTCTTAGGAAATTGTGCCTGGTTCTCAGCTGAGTCATTGGCCTGCCATAAAATAAGCAAAATGCATAGTAATACTGGCCCTTGACGCAAGGCTTCCTACATGTAAGTAGAGTATAATCTGCCAACTGCAGGGCTAGGGTGCCCGTCTTTTAAAGATCCATTCTCATTATTGATGCCTCCGTTCCCCATTGACTGTAATTTTCCATCTTCCTGTCACCAGCCAATACAACGATAAGCTCCATGAAGCCAGTGTGATATTTTACCCACACTCTTCTGCCTTGACTTGAGCCTTAAATGAGAAACAAAATAAATGAATGAAATGCGAGAAAGAAATTATCCCAGGAAATGTAGATTTACAGTTTACAGTTCTCTGGGTTTCATTTGATGTATGTTTGGAGGAGGCCAAGATTTTAAATTAAAAACAGAATAGCATAGCAAAGCTGATAATGATATGTGTGCTGAGGTGAGGAACGTTATGTTCTTACTGGGCCGTTGCTAGTATTTCACTACATTTTCTTTCTGTTCTATGCAATACCTTATGCCATCTCATTATTTCCACCAAAACACACTGATAAGAAACCTTATCAAACATGGAACCAAATGGAAGCTTGCCTGTAGGATATCAGTCCATCAGCACTTCCATTGGCTCAAGAATAATTCTTTGTAGACAAACAAATTCTTGAGTATTTGGAAAACAACAGGGTGCAACCCTTTGCATGTTTAGACAGACAAAAGTCCTGGAATGCCCTGCATCCCTCCACAGCCAGCCATACTGGGAACTGTAGGACTTTTTCCTGTCTAAACATGCCCAGAATTGCACCCTTAGTGATGTCTGGGGAGCTCAGGGATTCCCACTCTAAGAAGATCTGCAAGAGCTGTTGAAATTATTTCTGGCTCTTCCAAAATCCCTCAGAAGAGTCTCTTGCATGGGACTGGACCACCAAGACTATGTCACAGTATCATTCAAAGTGAAATTTCAGTGACAATTCTGAAGCTCAGAGATGAATACTCCAAAATGGACCCTCTCTGTTGCCTAACCCTTACATGTCCACACCTTGGCTTTTCCTCCAACACCTTGCATGAAGAGCACTGAAAGGGGAGACCTTCTGGATCAGACGTAAGGTCCATCTCATGAGGCCTCCCTTTTAATCAGCCAGGTATTTCCGCAGGACATGAAGGCAGCTGCAGCACTCCCCCTCTCCTGCTCCCCACCAACACATGCAGTGTCATGGCGGCTCTGGGCACATTTAGCTGCCATGGGTGCTAACAGCAAAATTCTCCCAGGAACTGAATCTTGAGCCTGTGTGGCGTAGAAGTTACGGTGCTGGCCAGGGACTTGCAAGGTTCGGGTTCTAGTTCCCGCTTGACTGTGAAGCTGACTGGGTGACATGGGCTGGACACTTACCCAGACAGGGTTGTTGTAAAGATAAATATGAAGGGGAGTATGAGGCACAGATATGCTCCTTGGAGAAAAGGCAACGGAGTCCCTGTGAAATTTACTCCGCTTAGCCAGAGGCTAACAGGAGGTGCTGATCATCTCCATTTCTGAGGCTGTGAGCCAGCGCTGTCTGAAGATGATTCCATGGTCATGTGGACAGCATGGTGTCCTGGAGTGCTCTAACCTTCCCACCGAGGTGGTACCTATTTATCTGCTCGCATGACATGCTTTTGAACTGCCAGGTTGGCTAGGAGCTAGCGGCAAACAATGGGAGATCACTCCATCTGGTGGAAGCTGGGCTTGAACCGCCGGAGTGCCAACCATTTCTGGTCAACAGTTCCAGTGTCATTAAGCTGCTGCGCCACCATTTAGAGAAAAGGTGGGATAGAAATTGTAAGGTACAAGTAGGTAATTATGTAGCCAAACTGACAGCACCCACACTGAAGGGAGAAGGCAAGGAAGAGACCCCAGAAGAAGACTGAGTGAGCCCAAAGAAGACCAAATGAGTTTGGTAGGCACAGAGTGGAATGGAGTATCCTGGAAGGGGGCATGGCTGGCTGGCTGGCTGGCTGGCCGGCTGGCCGGACAGCAAACATTACCGCTGCAATATCCTGTTCCTGCTGATTGTGACTAATTGTCGTTGGTAGACTTGGCTGCCCAATCCAGGGCTCACCTGAGCTCCTTTGCTACTGTCAGCTGCAGCTTCTGACAAGCCATGAACTTCTCTGCCTCCCTAGCACTGCACCACTGCTGACACCCTGAAGAGAGGACTGCCGTATCTCGCCCTCTGGGGTTTTCATGGGGCTTCAGTGGTCCTGTGGCCCCTGTGCAATCTTGGCACACTTATTTATTTGTCTCTTTGTTTTCAACTGTTTTAGACCATCACTTACTGAAGTCTTAGGACAGTTTAACTGTAAGACATAAAATAAAATAAAACACAGCATCGTTATCAATTTCTGACAATAAAACTCATATTAAACTAACAATCAAAAATGTTGGGAAAATAAAAAGGTTTTAGCCTGGTGCTGAAAAGAATAAAGTCACAGTGCCAGGTGAACCTCTCTGGGTTTGTCACGGGCTATGGAGGAGATCATGTTCCAAAGGTTCTCATGAAGCCCCCGAGCATCCCAGTGACAGCTGCTCTGAACGGACCTGCCATGTCCTTTCCTGCTGCTGCAAATGCCACACCTGCCGGAGGAGGAAGTGGGCACCCTGGCCTGGCCTGGGCCCTGGAGAGCAGCGGGCAGCTTGGATGGGTTGGCCCTGGTCAAATTCAGCCTTTAGATGGACCATCAAGGACAAGCCCTAACAAAGACATGAGCAAGGATGCATTTGTTCCCTCGCCGGTCCAAAAGCTGGTCAAAGCGGTCCAAATGGCCTCAGTGGGTTTCGCCCTCATATGGTGCTTTTGTGCATTCACAGGGGTGAATTTGCTTGTGGGGACGGAGAATGGACTGTGGCTTCTAGACAGAAGTGGACAAGGACGAGTGTACTCGCTCATAACCCGGAGGCGCTTCCAGCAGATGGACGTACTTGAAGGACTCAACGTACTAATCACCATCTCAGGTTGATCTGGTGGCTCTTCCCATCTGCCCTGTTGTAGGACCAGAAGCAATTGCAAGGAAGGGAGACCATATGTTGGGCTGCAACAACTCCCTGGTCCTTTCTCATGCTTCGATTGTCCTTGGTGTAGATGCAGTGCAAACTGTTTCATTGCCTGCTTAATTTGTAGACCGGTCTGCAAGACTGATAAAGTACACCAGCAGGTACTTCAGATCCAAAAGGATCTGGACAGACTGTGGAAGTGGGTGGGGGACAACAGGATGTCATTGAATGTGGATTAGTGCAAGGTCTTGCACTTGGGAGTCAGGTATAGGTGCCATAGGTACAGGAGGGGGGCACATGGCTGGAGAGCAACACTTGCAAAAGGGATCGTGGGGTACTTGTCAGCAGTGGGCTAAACAGGAGCCAACAGTGTGACGTCGTGGGTAAGAAGGCAAACATCACCCTTGGCTGTATAGACAGAAGTGTGGCTTCCAGGTCAAGAAAGGTGTTACTCCCACTCTGCAAGACTCTGGTGCACCCACAACTGCAGTACTGTAACCAATTCTGGGCTCCAAATGATAGGAGAGACATAGATAGGTTAGTATCAGTTCAGCACCGGGTCTCAAGGATGGTGTCCAGTTTGGGGTGTGGAGTGACATATGAGTTGAGATTGAGGGATCTGGGTCTTTTCAGCCTGGAGGGGATTTTATAGCAACATCCAGGTATGGGAGAGGGTGTCACAGAGTGGAGGATCATGGCCTGTTCTCCCCTGCAGTGGAGGAAAGGGTGCAGTTCAATGGGGCAAAGCTCAAAGAGCTGTGATTCAGGTTGGATGCCAGGAAGTACTTCCAGATGGATAGGACCTATAGGTTGGGCTTCCACAGGAGATGGTGGCGGCCCCATCACTGAGCATGTTAAAGGAAAGACTGGGCAACCATATGTTGAATGGAGTCAGCTGGAGCTGGGGGCCAGACTAGATGGCCCAGGAGACCCCGTCTGACTCACTGTGCTTATATGTTTCTATCTTAATAATGGTTTAAATCCGACCTCTTCATAGTATGAGTCATGGAGCGTTTGTTCATTTAACTCCGACTCCGCCCCTGCCCTGGGAATGAATTCAGCAGCCATAAAGTTATTCCTCCTTGAGCACAGACGAGGCATGTATGTGTGAGACGTTGTTGGCAAGACGGTTTGAAACTGGGGACCTGTTAGTGGGCAAGAATATATCTGAGGGGAAAGGGGAATAGAAAGGGTGGTGGGACTCTGCATGCGGGGATGCAAATGACGTGCAGTGATCACTTGTACTGGAACGAAGTATTAGAGAAAGTTTGCGCAGTCTTTCAAGCTACGCAGCGCTTTTCATGAGGTAGCACGAGAGGCAGCAATTAGTTCAGTCACCATGACTATTCTAGATAAGATCCAGGCCTCTCTCAAGTGATGGTTTATTGCTCAGCAGTAAACCAGATTTTTGCAAATAAATCCAAATAAAAATGAAGAGATGCATAATATCAGCATATAGTGCGGTGGGGAGAGAGGGATAAACAGATCAAACAGGCCAGTGCAAATTTAAACAGAAAAAAGGGCTTCAATTGGGCATGCTGGGAGTTGTAGGTGCTTTTCCATCCACATTTGCATAGGATTGTACCTTAAATATAATAATCCCCATGTGGAATGATATCTCTTTATATAGCAACAGTTAATTAGCCATATTTTGTTGATGATTAAACCATACACACACACACACAGAGAGAGAGAGAGAGCGAGAGAGATGCACATGGAATGGGTTATAACAAAAAGCAAAATCTAGAAATACATAGAAGTACATTCTCAACTTCTAAAATATGCTTAAAATCCACAAAATTGAAACAAGATGAATAACGCTTGGATGTGAAAGGAGGAATGGTGCTTTTCAAGACAGGGATTATCCAGGAGGTGTTGAAGGAAGGAGCTATTGCATGAAAAACAAGAATGGATCAGCAAACAGATTCAGAGTGATGGATCATTTCACATGAATTGTTGGCCTGCAGACAGAAGCTTTAGCAGAAAAAGAGAGGCTTTTTTCCACAGTAGAAAAATTAATTGACCAGGTTTTCCAGAAACCTACTGCAACCACATTATGGTAACCTGCAAGGGGGCACAGTCAGTCTTTCTCTCTCTCTCTCTCTCTCTCTCTCACACACACACACACACACACAGATTACCAATATTAACAAACTCCCTCATAAACAGGATGGAAAGAATTTGAGCTTAAGTGTGCAGTTCTGTGCATGTTTGGACAGAAAAAAGTCCAACAATTCCCTGGGTGCCCCAGTCCAAAGCAACTTGCTCCTTTGATGCAGAACTCAACTCGAAACTGTTTCCACCTTCCTTCCATGTCGCTGGTACAAGACTGTCAAGTGCAACTCGCTTCTCTGCTGTTTTTCCAACAAATGCTAGGTAAAAAGAATAAGCTACGGGTCTACTACTTATCCTGGCTACGAAACAAGATCTTGAGGAATGATCCCGACGTGGAGAAGCGGCAGGGATGGGTGTCAGTGGGAGATCTTGAAGGCTGCATTCACTATAAAGTGGGTGAGTGCCCTCCATTCTTAAAGGCGTGCTAGGGCCCAGTTCGTTATTATTACAGCTATTACACTTTTATACCACCCCGTAGCCCATTGGGCTCTCTGGGCAGTTTACAGGTTTAAAAATATACATAGGAACCGCACGATTAAAACAAAATCCAAGTAAAAATACAGAGTTTGGCAGTGGCAGCAGTGATGATAGGCTGATGAGCATGGTGTCAGCTGCCCAACGCCCGAGCCCCTCAAAAGGTCCCCCCATGGGAGGGCCCGCCCCTCTCTCCCCACAGCCCTCTAAATCTATTTGGGATTCAAGCCCAGAGCGCTCAGAAGACCAGGCACAGCCCGGATTTGATAGTTCCAGAGCAGGGCAATGGAGTCTTGACTCACAAGGATGCCGACCACCCTTACTAGCAGTGATGGTGACATCATTTTCCAGACCTCGAACCCTGAATTTCCTGCTCTCCGTGAGCTTAGCTTCCCCAGTGTGCAGCCGGGTGAAGTTAATTTCCCCAGCAACAGGAGACAGTTCCCTGCCACCAGGCAAAGAATTTGGGGGGCTTTTGCCTTGGCTGGGCAACTAATGAGCTCAACAAGAGACCTGCCCCTGGTGGAAGTGAAAGCCACTGTGGCTCGTGTGTTGATATGGCTTCATGCAGCAGCCTGAACGCGGGGCTTGACTTCCGTGGGGGCAAGGCTATGGGGCTGCTGCAGTGAGCCCTCGTGGTGGGCTCTGAGTTTCCTCTCCTGCGCATTCAGCATCTGCGCCCCTGGGCAAGGAGATCCCGTGCCACACGCACGGTTCTCCTCGCAGCCCCAGAGCCAGCCGTGGCAGCCCCATCCCCCGAACACCCTGGAAGGAAGCTGCCGATACGGAGCTAGATGAACCAAAGGTCCGGCCCATTAGCAGGAGGCACCGGATCACACCATCAGGCTGTCTTCCCACTTTCTGTGACTATTCCGTTTAAAAGACAAACCACCTGTTACTTTCCAGTGAAATACGAGAGGATCAAATTCCTTGTGATTGCTGTGAAAAATTCAGTTGAGGTCTATGCCTGGGCTCCTAAACCATATCACAAATTTATGGCTTTTAAGGTAAGTACACAGTACAGATTCAAACTTTTACTATAGTCTGATTTGTTTGTTTTCCAAAGTATAATTCTTTCCATGTCTCTGCTCTTCCTAGAATTATAGAACATAGGAAAAATATTAGAAAATAGGTCTAGTAGTGGCAAAGACCATAACCGTGGGCATTGCCGCCCCATTAAAGACCTCTCTGCTGCAAATTCACTTATAAATTTTGTAATTTTTAATTTTATAATATTAGTCAGTTTAAATCATTAAAAACTGGCATATGAAAGAATTACTCTAAAGCAAAAAAGCATGCTTTTGTTTTGGGATTATGCATATATATGGTAGGTACCATAGAAGAGTTTCCCACCCACACACATTATTTGTTTAGTGAGTTATTTCTGCATTTATGTACCACTTTTGAGGACCACGAGCCCTTGCAAACAGTTCACAATCGTTTTTAAAAAATAAGCTTTTCCATGCCAAGTAAAGAACAGAACTGAAACCATCCTGTTCAAGAAGGGCAGTCCTAAACCCATGCATCTCCTTCTTTAATGAGAAGGAGATGGAATGGAAGTCTTTAGGGCCCACTCAAAACTCACAAAGGAGACCACTCACTCTGCGTGCCATGGATGGAAGTTCCATGGAGGCAGCACCATCTCTGAAAAGGCCCCACCTCTCACTCCCAGCAGTTTCATAGGTCTCAGTGGTAGGTCCACACTGGGAAACAAATGCCTCCTTTAAGGTGGCACTAGCCATTTGCATTCTTGATCATTAGTTATATTCCATATATTCATGGGGCACGGTCAGTTTCACCAAGGAAGGTCCCACATCTCGGTGGTGGAGCTCCGGCTATGCAGGCAGGGTTCCCGCCCTCTGTCCGTCATGTCTCCAGTTAAAAGATGGATAGGCTCTTCCTCTGACTCGGCAGGCATGCTTGTAATGAGGAAGGGAAACTACAAAGCAGCCCTCATTTCAACAAGGTGTGTAATACCTGTTCTTTTCTTGTTCCAGTCCTTCACCTCACTGCATGAAAAACCACTGTTGGTTGACCTGACTGTTGAGAATGGGCAGAGGTTAAAAGTCATCTATGGCTCTCTGGTTGGATTTCACGTGATTGATGTGGATTCTGGATCCGTGTATGATTTGTACCTGCCAACACATGTAAGATACTACCTTTCCATCTTTAACAATGATAACCTCAATGAATATTTCAGTCTGTAGGCCCCAAAGGCTGGGTTCAGACGTCACAACAAATAACCCTGCATGTTTTCCATGGTGTTTGTGTGTGGGGGGGGGGGGGTTGCCTGGGCATGTCTGACAGACAATCAATGGTGGTTTCTTTCCCAATGCCTAAAATCAGACCGAGGGTACAAACTCCACATGCTTTGTGCAAGCACTGAAAATATTGTGTCCTAAGTCACCAGACAAATCCCGGAGCAGAATATTCAAAGGGGATGCAAAGGCCTGCGGGGTTCGTAAGTGAGGATGCCACCTGGAGCCCAGCCTGGAATGCTGCTGCTTCCCTGCAGCACAGTTTGGGGAGGAAAGGTTTTGCTGCAGAGAAGCAATGAAGAGGAGCATTTAATCCCTCCCAGCTGCTTCTTCCTGTACTTCTTTTCTCCTGTTGTTTTCCCCTGCCATGCACCCCCAGGCATGTGTTTCTGTCCTGGAGTCTGAAAACCCAACTATGCGTGGTTATAAAGAGAAGACAATCATATAAGTGCAGCCTGTGTTAGACGCTGCTGCTAAATATCGTTTCTCCTTCGGTCTCAGACCTAGAGCAAAGAACTGCAGGGATATGCCAAACACAGTGAATGTTGCAATGGGGTCCAGTTTTTAGAATTGTATGCTCTTTTTTCTTGGGTTGTATGTTCCCAGGGTTCTGGTTTCCTTCCCCTGCCCCCCAGCAAATTGCCATTGTGGTGTTGTTGTTTTTAGCAAAGTTTCCCTGAGGTCCTTTCTATAGAAGGCTGAAGTTGCCTGTTTGAACACTGTTCATTGTGGCACCGTCGAAGAGGTACCCAACTGTATCAATCTAAGCTGGGTTTGGCACCCTCCGTCGCTTGACGTTATGGCATTTTATCTGGTTCTTCTTCCAGGAAGCCAGGCATGGGAGATGCGGCCCCATCCAGGCCCCACCATCCCTGTGAAAAAATTGTGAAGGGCGGGGGCACAGCTCCGGGGCAGGGGCCTTGCTTTGCCTGCAAAGGGCCCCAAGTTCAATCTCTGGCTTCTCCACCAAAACCGGAACCCTGGAGACCTGTTGCTGCCAGTCAGTGTTGACAAAACCAGGCCAGATGAGCCAAAGCTCTGACTCAGTATAAGGCAGTCCCTGATGGTCCTATAAGGTCAACTAGGCTAAAGGACAGGGAGTGCCATGGCTGAGCGGGTCCCATCAGGGCCAGAGCCCTGCCGGATCAGGCCTCACGCCCATCCAGCACAGCATGCTGCTCACACAGTGGCCAACCAGCTGCCCCACAGGTGAAACAAGGGTGCAGCAGCACCCTCCCACTCATGATTCCCAGCAACCATCATCCACAGGCCCCATCCTGGAGGAAGCATATAGCCATCCGTGGCAGCCATGGATGGCTCCTCGTGCCCCTCCTCCAGTGTGTGTCCCGCCTCCTTCTCAGGCCATCGAACTTGGCAGCCATCCTAACATCTTGCAGTCTTGAATTCCAGTTTCCCTCTGCATGGTGCGAAAAGGTCCTTCCTTTGGCCTGTCCCAAATTCCCCACCTGTCAGCCTCACAAAGTGACCCCACTGCATTCAAGTCTTATGACATCTCTCCCCCTGCACTTTCGCCACGCCATGCCTAATTCTGCAGCTCTTGCCTTTTTCTCCCGTCACACAATCTCGGTGGTTGTAACCTTTCCTCCTGGCGGAGTTGCTCCTTGATTATCTGGCTGTCCTTTCCTAGTTCTAGACCAGTACTCTGACCACTGCATGGCACTTCCGGTATACTTGCTTGCCAAGAGTGAGCTCTGCACCTCGCAGGGCTGCTGAGGCAAGGGAGACAGGCCTCTGTCTCCAAGGGGCCAGGAAGGGAGAGCAACGGACGCGCAGAGGAAGGGGTGCGTCCCGAACTTGCTTCTGCTTGGGGCAAGGATTGATGGGGAAAGCTGAAAGCAGAATAGCCAGGGGCCTGAGTGGGGATTCAAAGGAAAGGAAAGGAAAGGAAAGGAAAGGAAAGGAAAGGAAAGGAAAGGAAAGGAAAGGAAAGGAAAGGAAAGGAAAGGAAAGGGGGTGGCACAATTGAACAAGCAGCATTACAATGGCAAGGCAAGGGGAAACGGTCACCATCTCAAAATAAAATAAAATAAAATAAAATAAAATAAAATAAAATAAAATCAGTGTTGAGCTGCAAATTCCCAGTTTAATTATGTGCATGGAAGAGTGATCTGTTCCCAGCTGAACTTCTCAATAGGGGAGTTCCCCTAGGAGAACGGCATCTCCGCTTCTGCTCACTCACCCACCCTAGGATGGCATGGGCTAAAAATACGTGCTTCACCCCCCACCCCAGTGCAGGGACTGAGACAGGAGCGCTGCCACTGAGCTGGGCTGTAGCTGCTCGGGCTCGGCGACATTGGCAGGGTCCAGCTTCAGGAGACCGGCTATGATATCCTTCGGGAAGCTTGTCCCAGGCTCCTGGTAGAACAGACCCACCAAGCCTAGGCAGACTGGCTGGCTGACTCCCCCTTCCTCACCTGCGCTGCTCCCTGCCTCGCCTGCTCATGCGAGTGATACCAAGACAGCGCATTAAAATTGCTTTCCGACTCTGGATCCCTGTTCTTGTTTTACGGATTGTGGCTGCTGAGACCCTGGACTGCATGGCTGACCTGGGTGCCTTGAGTTTGGCAAGTAGCAACCCCTGCGGTTTCCTGAGGGTTCATTCGCAGCGATAAGGTGGCAGAGCATGGCATGCCCTTTCTGCGGGGAGGAGTGTCTTTTAGGGCTGCATGTGTCTGCCAATTCCAAAAAAATGTTCCCCTTTCCTGTGAAAATGCCAATTGCAAGCTGTCTCATAACTGAATTAGAGATTCAAGGGATAATCCTTGTTCTGCCATTGCAGAGGAGGAGTTAGGACTGTTTGCAGAACGGGTTTTATGTTAAGTTTTCCTAAAGAAGAGCCCTCCCCGCACACCCCACTCCAAGCGTGCTTACCACAAATCCTCTCTCTCACAGGGGAGGTGTGCTGGGGGGTTGCGAGTTACATATTCTAAATTGCTTTAAGCTGTTTGAATATTTTATGGTGTGAACCAGGAGGCTTTTCTGGATGTGAATAGAAAGCCTGCTGAAGAGATTTTTAAGCACTGCTCGGTTTTCCTCTGGGTGTAGGTGTGTGTTGTTAATGTGCATTGTATATAAACCTCTGAATGACCTCGGAGGAATAAATCTCTTTCAAGGGAGTGAGAGGCAGTTTCCAGCAGTCAGGAGCCTGTGTGGACACTCCCTCCAGAACTGTGTTTGTGTAGCCGGGGCTGCCACAGGCTTCATCAGCAAACACAGTGTCTGGGGCAACAAAAAGGACCAGGAGGCACTGTGCCCCCCCCCCCCCAGTTCAGGAAATGTGGCCAGTGGAACTTGGCTGCAAAATGATTTGGGCTAGGCACATGGCTGCTGGGACTTGGGGTCAAACCGAGCATGACTTTTTCTTTGGGTAATTATGGCTTGGGAGGAGATGTGGATCAGGACTAGAGAGTTTTGGGAAGGAGATCCATCATTCTCTCACCTGTAACCATTCCTGGCTTCAGTCCCTTTCCCCTCAAAGCTATTATTTGCTGCAGAAGTGGGAATGTACCTGAAGATGCCTCCACCTCCTCTTGCCCAGGGTGAATGCTGTTTTTGGAGGGGGGGGAGGGGGGTTTCTAAAATGAATGGCTTACAGAGAAAAAGGAATGTTCCCATTTTCCCTCCAGTATACACCCCTATACCCAGTCCCGATTCCTCCTAACTAGTTTTAACGAAGGAAAAAAATATATTTATTTGATTTTTATACTGCCCAATAGCCAAAGTCCTCTGGGCAGGTAACAAAAGTTTAAAAAGATATCAAGAATCCAGTCATAAATTCTCCCCATGATGTCTAGACTGACCCTCTGCTATTCATTTACTCATATTTATTTGTACACTGCCTTTTTTCCTTTCAAGGAAGTCAAGGCAACTTACATCATTCTCCTTCTCCTCTCAGTCTTATTCTCACAACACCAACCCTGTGAGGTAGGCTGGACTGAGAATCTGGGACTGGCCCAGAGTCACCCACTGAGTGCCACAGCCAAGCAGGGACTAGAACCCGGGTCCTACACACTTAGCCGCTACACCAGATCGGCTCTCGGACTTTGGTGTAGGATGCCAGAGTTTGCTATGCAAATCTGGACAGTTCATTCTTTCAAACTGTTATCTATTCTTGTTGAGGTGAAAGCTTTCTTCTTGTTGAGGTGAAAGCTTTCGGTGCAGGATGGACATAAATGAAGAGCACATACCCCGTTCCCATACCCACCTTCCACCAGAAAAATTCGCAGAAGAAGGAAAGAGCCAAAATCAGCAATCTGCATGCAATAAAATACGTACAGGCAAATTTTATGTATGCTAAGTGTATGAAAAAGGTAAAATTTGGCTCAGCAAAGGGGTGGAGCGACATGACTTCTGAGTTACCCCATGCCATTCCATATTTGCTGCCGCTGGTGACATATTTTTACGCTATGCTCTGTAGCCCATCTGTTTATTTCAAAAGCGTAAATGCATTTATTTCTTCTCTCAGCCATGCCTTTGCTAGGTTGTACAGTGCTAAATTAAATCTGTACAGGGCTTTCTTTAAACAAAGGAGCCAAAGTCCCTTCTCCACACCCTCCTTAGATCAATGTCATCATCCAAGCAATCACTTCCAAAGGAAAGAATGTTTCATTAGAAAATGTTTTAAAAAATCCATTTCCAACAAACTGTAATCCAGAGCTTTAAAAAAACAAACAAACTGAAGAACAGTAAATATATGTGCTATTTCAAGAGGCGGGGGGATGAAGAGAGAATCTTGGTTCCTTCTAGTTCATATTTACTTTCAATATTACCTTAATGTTTTGAATTATTTAGACTGACTGATACAGTTTTCATAGTGATTGGCCTATAAATTTGTTTGTAAATGCTTTAAGTAAGATAATTGCTAAGTTAAAGTATACTTTACAATCTTTTTTATTATCTTGTTGCTACTCTTATTGTGTCCAAATTGCTCTTTGGTTTATTTTCACCACACGAGACTTCCAGAATACTAAGTGAAACATTGACTAGTGACCTGCTATACAATCTTTCGATATTTAAAGAAAGATAAAAATCCCTCTTTCCAGATGGCAGCTGTCTTGACATAAAAAGGGTATTTCTTTTCATTTGTATGATTGCTGAACCTGCAAAAAAGTATATAGACCATTTTCACAAAGGAAAATCTTTTTGTTTTGTTTTGTTTCTAAGAGCTCCAAGTCGGGTGGTTTTAATGCTCTGCCAAGATACCTAGATTGAGAAACGGTAGCTTCTAAAATGGTAGCCTCTTCCATGATATAAATCTTAACAACATATTATTCCAGATGCAGGGAAATATTCACCCACACGCCATTATCATACTTCCCAATACCAGTGGAACGGAGCTTCTACTTACCTATGAAGATGAAGGCGTCTACATTGACATTTATGGACACTTCTCAAAGGAAAATGTTTTACAGTGGGGAGAAATGCCAGCATCTGTAGGTATGTATGAAAAGGATACAGCTCTCCGAATCCCACTGCACCAGGGGAGGCCCATGCCAACAGGTATGGGATGTTAGTGTGTGTGTGTGTGTGTGTGTGTGTGTGTGTGTCAAGCTGAAAAGCCAGTGCAGGGTTTTGCAAAATTGGAAAATGTGAGAAAGAAGGTTACCAGCCTTCCCTATATAGAGAACCTACAGTATGTTTCAGGCATCTTAGTTTAAGCAGTGCACTCTGGAAGAGACCGGACAGAGGTTCATAAAAGTATACATGGAGTAGGGAAGCCAAGCAGAGAGAGGTTTTTGTTCTCGTCTTGCAATACTGGGACTTGGTGTCATGCAGTGAAGCTGCATGGCTGGAAATCAAGGAGAGACGAAAAGTAGTCCTTCTCCACACAGTGTATTGTTAATTTTTAGAAAGTGTTGCCCAGAAGGTGCCTGATGGCTGCCGGGGGGCACAGGGGAGGACAGAGCTAACCCACTTGTAAAACGGCTGCTATAGTTAGACATCACCACTTGCAAACTGCCTGTGTCCCAGAAAGCAAAGTGGTGAGGTTAAAACAAAGGCAAAATGCCCAAGAACCTCGGCACAAGGCAGAGGTGTGGTCTGAGTCCAGTCTTCTGAGCTGTTTTCTGTTCCGATACCCATTTCGCATGTGGGAAGCTGATAATACTCGGGGAACGATATCCGTGCACACACACACACACGCACACGCACACGCACACACTCGGTGTGCCTGGATTCACCACCTTCTGTCAAATTATAAGTTTATTTTGTGTCTTTAATAGACTGATTGTGATTCTTTCTCTGCTGTTACTTCCAGTAGACAGCATGAGCTGCATGTAGCATGGAAATGTCTTAGCAAATTCTGTACAAGGTTATCTCCTGTTAATTCACACTGGTCTAAATTAGAACTATACGACAGCCGTTAGGGTGCAGCAGGGAAGACACAGGGGAAAATGGGAAGCCTTGGCCCATGTGCCAGTGCCTGGGAACACAAGGTCTATCAGTGCCTCCAATCTTTCCACAGCATGGCATCCACAAAGGCCTGGTCTAGTCTTAAGCTGTCAGGGCTGTTGATAGCCTATTTGCCAGCATCTGTGCACCCTCGTCTAAGTTTGGCTTGGGTGGTTGCCATACTCTCCCAAAAGCACTGCAACTTTCCGTCCTGTTTGAAAAATAGGTTCATTGTGTTACAGAATTTACAGAAATGGAATTTACACAGTAAGGCAAGCTCCCATATGTCGCTTTCTTGATGACTCTGCAGTCACCCTTCTTTCCCTTTCCAGCAACCCCCCCCCCATAAAAATACTGGAGCTGTGAGGCATAATTAACACATGTCAAGACAATTCTACTCTGCGCCACATTAATGTTTAACACTGTGTATACGACGCTGAGTCTTTGCATCCCACAATCTTGCATTAGTGGCACGGTGTGAAACGATCGAAGATAAAAGGACCATCAGCCAGTCAGATTTCGGGGGGGGGGGGGGGGGAGAGAGAGAGAGAGAGAGACCAACTGTGAGGAATGCACTTGTCTGGGAGCCAGATTTTAAAATGCCAGGGGGCGGGGGACCAGCTCTCTCCAGAAATTGTTGGAAGACAGTGCTGTTTTTCCACCTTGAGCTGGAGTACAGCAAGCTGCTGGAAGGCCAGATCATTTGATTTTTATATTAAACCAACATTGCCTCCCAAATGCCACGGATGTCTGTCTGATCTTGGAGAGAAAGTACCAGGTCATGAATGGTGGAGGGAATTGATTGGCCTCTGTGTGGTCAAACCCAAGGCAACAAGAAGGATCAAACAGCTGTAACGAGTGTGTTAAGAAAAACCAAGACGACAGCCGCATTTTGAGTGACGGAGAGCGAACGTGCGCGCTGTCCTTTTATTCCTTCAAAATGATTGGAAGGCCATCTTCTCCAGGGATATTTTACAGCTTTGAATATGATCAAAGAGAATAGCTGAAAAAACCAGTCCAAATTCCTTCCAGCAGGAACACTTTGTCTCCAAGTTTGTTTAATCTATGGCAGTTGGGTCTGCTCATCTCTGAAGGCCCCTCGGAGGGTGAGAGAGGGCAGAACTAGACGGCGTCACATCCCCGGGGCTCTTTCATTCCCTCCTCTGCTTCCTTCTGCACTTCTAGTGTGGGTGCAGGACCAGAGGCACAGTGGCAGAATCTGGCCCTCCAAGGGCCCCAGTCATTCTCTCCGGAAGGCTGTGCCCCTTTGTAAGAAACGGAATTCGGTCCCAGCACTGGAAAAGATTCCTGCACTCTGTTTTGCTGCGCTGACCTGTGCCTCCAACATCACAATGTTGTGACTTTCTCTGTCTCCTTCCTTCCTACCACTGGGGGCCACATGGCCAGCATCAGGGCCAGCAGACCTGAGCCTGTGCCCCACCCAAAATTCCCCTAGACTGCTCTCCGTCTCCCCAAAGCGAAAAGCAACCAATAATGCTGAAGATGAAGAGCAGCAGCCTTTCTTTGTCAGCTTTTGGTCTGTCAGCTGAGTGGATGTTAGCGATAAAGATGAGCAGGAGCAAGAATCAGGGTGGGGGTGAAGCGGACCCACTGAGGGCACCCTGTCCAGGAAGCCTGCAGTGCAACACACGATGGTGTGGCATCTGGATATAGGCAAGTGATGATGGTACTGGGTGGAGAATTAGACAGGCATCCACCATTTGGGGTCGCAGCCCAGCCAATTGCAACAGCTAGCGTTGGCCGCAACAGCATCCATCTCGGTGTCGTTTCAAGTGGACCTTGTAGCTGGACAGGAAAGGAGAGCTGATGTCACCTCTGTAAAGTATTTATTTAAAAGCAGGCCAGGATCCAGCTGAAGGGGAAAAGCTTCTGGTTGCATGTAGGGACTCATGGGATGGGAGTGCTCCTTCGTGGGAAAAAAACATTTCCTCCACACAGAATGATAGATGTTTTAATCTATCCTTTCACAATCACAAGCTAATTTTCTGTATGTAGGGATTATTAACCAGTCAGTCCTAGAGAAGATCAAGCCTGACTGCTCTTTAGAAGGCCAGATACTGAAGATGAAACTCAAATACTTTGGCCACCTAATGAGAAGGAAGGACTCCCTGGAGAAGAGCCTAATGCTGGGAACAATAGATGGCAAAAGAAGAAGGGGACAGCAGAGGATGAGGCGGCTGGATGGGGTCGCTGAAGCAGTTGGTGTGAGCTTGAGTGGACTCCAGGGGATGGTGGAGGACAGGAAGGCCTGGAGGAGTGTTGTCCATGGAGTTGCGATGGGTCAGATGCAACTTCACGACTAGCAACAAGGGATTATTATCTTTTCCCATCTGAAATAGGGGAGGCACTGACGCTTTCCCTGCAAATAGGTTCAGCACTGTGCACAGTTCAGACTGAAAACCATAGTAGATACACTGCCCCGCTAAAATTGGATCCAGTGACCAGTGCTGCTCTGAAGTGGTCCAGGCCAGAAGTTTTACCCCCTCAAAGCCAAATGTCAGTGAGGTGTTTTAAAGTTGTTCTACTGCAAGAACACTTGGTCCAATTCTGACTGGGACCACCACAAGATGGAACTGTAGTCCCCCATCCGATTTTCTCTCAAAATTCACACATGGAGTGGGGGCTAAAAAAGAAAAAAGAAACAAAGTCTCCATCCATGGAAGGGGAAATTTGGAGCAGAAAACTGGGGGAGAGAAGTTTGTTTGTTTATTAGATATATATCCTGTTTTCTTTAAAAAAAATTCAGACTGCTTACATCTTTCTTCTTCTCCTGCTCTGCATTATCCACATAATTACAACCTCGGGAGATAGGGTGGCCTGGGAATCTGGAATAACTGTTTTCATTGCTGCTCTTCTAAAGATGACCCAAGGTTTTTCTAGCATGGCTTTTAATGGAAATAATATTATGGATTCACTAAGAAAAACTGCAGTATTGTAAGCTGCCATACATGTTTTGAAATATCACATAAAAGGGCACAATATAAATGTCCATAATGAACAGTTCTAATGAGGGAAACCTTAATGGGATCTACCTGGTATCAATAGAGAAATTGTTTTCTTTAGTTTTCCAGAAATGATTTTCCCTTCCCAGAGCTTAATTCCTTTTCTTTCCTTGCCAAATGCCCTTAACCATCCAACAAAGTGTTTCCCATTTTGGGACTTTACTATCCTTACTTAGTACTAACAGAACAAAACAAAAGTCCAACCTTTGTACTATTTTCAGTGATAGAGCTAAGATATAATTGATAAATGTAGGACAAGGAAATTAACATAGTACTCTCTTAAGATTTTAAGGTGGATGGGACTTATGTGCCCAATCTAGTAATTGGAAGGAGGAAATTTAATTCCAGAGGGAAATTAAAGTGGTAGAAATACCATATTTAATTTAATGGCTGTTCTAGATAAGTAAGCCTAGAAAACAGAGCTTCACTTGACAAGGGGAGTAAAGAATATTTTGGAAGCAAAGAGTCCTCTATCTAGAAGGTGGAAAACTTGAAATTAACTCAAACCAAGGAAAAGCATTTTCCCCTTTCTGTTGTCAGTTCAAATAAATCAACACTGTGAGTATAGATTATATGAATTCCAGTGTGATTGTTGTGGCTGCTGTGATGTTTCTGCAGTTCTTGGAGAGTTTTCTCCTTGCCCCGGCATGTTGAGAGACTCGTGTCATAGACAGAATTATGGAGGGACAGAGCTGGCCCTGTCACTAGGCAGAAAGTGGGGACTGCCTCCAACCAAGGATGCTGAAGGCCGAGGAGCAGACAGAGCTGTGTGTGGGACATGGCTTCCCTACACCAATAAGATAAAGGACGCTATTTAATTGCCAGTGCTGCAATGAAATACAACTGACATTCCACTTGGCTTCTATCCATCAAAGTGATAAGGAGGCATCTCCTGTACATGTAGCTGTTCAGCAACATCAGGATTACCCTAGGATTAAATTCCTTCTGGAGGTCCCTGGAGTGAGCAGAGAAGGCTCTCGCTTTCAGGAATGGCTTTTTCCGTGAACAGATCTTTCAGATGGGGGATGGGAAGACGTTCGCCTGGATCATCTTTCATGTGAAATTTTACACTTTCAAGTTAATCAGGAGGGGGGCACTTCATGGGAGCCCCAGGATCCTTTTTGCCCCAGGCCCTCAATGGTTCGCTGCTGCTGGCCTCCAGAGGAAAGGCAGATTTGCTGCTTAGATATGGAATGGGCTTCCAAGGGATGTGGCTGAGGCTCCGTCAGTGACGGTGTTCAATGAAAGATTGGACAACCACATGCTGGGGATTACATGAGCAGAGCTGGCTGGAGCCAGGGGTCAGACTAGATGGCCGAGAGACCCCATCTGACTCTCTCTGTTTCTATGTTTCTAACTTTACCTTGAGAATGAAAGCTTTCCTAGCTTTAATTTACTTTCTGCTCTGCAGCACTTTGCTGCCAAATTTTGGTGGCAGCAAACCACCAATCTTTTTTCCTGCTGCAAATGTTGGATCAGAGTATGGTCTGAAGGTACCTAGGGCATCCACCAGGTTTGCTGCTGGTCTGAGCTTGAAGAGGAGACCACCTGGGAAGCTCATATACAACCTTGACGTCCACAATGAGAGAAAGCACAATGTGGGCTTCAAGTTTGCAGCCATTTGTTAATTTATGTCTTTTCCTCCAAGAAGCCCAAGGCATTTGTTAAATTCATGTCTTTTCCTCCAAGAAGCCCACGATCCTTCTCTTCTCCATTTTATCCACTTAACAACCCTGTGAGGTAGGTTAAGATGAGAGCCACGGATTGCCCAAATTCAGCCAGCGAGCTTCATGGACAAGTGGAGAAGTTCTACACCAGCATGCTGATCGCTGCTGTATTGGGGGCTTTTGCCTGCTCGGTCATGAAAACACTGAGGTCCCTGCGACAGAGTTAGTGGCCTCTTTATAGGAAGGCTTAGCTATGGGATGCAACAGGCTCCCTGGACACCATGACAGTAGATCAGGCACGTTCAGGCTCGTTCTGGTGAGAACATGCATCCAGTCCTGGCTTGCTGATTTTCATCTGGGTATGTCTTGCAACTGTCTGGATCATTAGCTGAAAAGTATGTATCATCTTGCCCACCACTCCCTTAGCAATGAAGAGAAGCCAGCCCTTGCTCAAGTCCCATTCTGGAGAAGCTCTTGGGAGGGGGGATTCGGAGTGGCAGGGGCAGAATAGTTTAGCTTTGACTGGCAGGAAATAAGCCTTAGAAAAGGCATTTCCACCTTGGAAGGTGGGGGAAATGTCACAATGCAGTATCTATTGTGGGGGGGGGGGGAATCTTTCAGTTCATCACAATGAAAGCACGGTAGCTAATGAGGATGACCAGAAAGGTTGTACCCCCCCCCAAAAATAAAAAAATACATAAATTTAAATCAGCCTTCCAGAGCTATAACACTGTCCCTTTGATACCAATTTAAACACACGCAAATATAGGGAAAGAATGAGAGAAGCTTTTCCAAAGATTGCTATGAACCACCTTTTAAAACAGCAGTAACTGAAAAAGGCTTCTCCCACTCCAGTCATTCTAGGGTTATAGCTCTGTATATTCATTTAGAAATATAAGCAGGTGCCAATAACAGGGCAAAGGATACAGGGCACATGTACAAAGCTGTGGGCTATTTGACTGCCTGCCAGGTCAGTGCCCACATCAGAACCACTTTGAAAGGGTGGAGGAGTGTCCAAGACACTCCTGTAGAGTTAACATAATGAGATGCACACAGAAGAAATGCATCTTAACCCCCCTACAGTGTGGGAAAGCACTTGCAATTCTCTTGGCCACTTACGGTGCCCCAAAATTTATGGATGCTCGCAACCATCTGTCTGGAAGCAATTCTGGACTTGCTTATTCCTCAATCTGTACTAGTTTTGCTCAAAAAACCCCAGGAATTGTGGTTTGGTGAAGGTGATGGGAATTTTCCATTAGAGATCTTGGTTTTTCCTCTGAGACAAGCAAAGACAAATATACCCAGATGCGCTCTTGCCTACTTCTCCCTTGGGAGAGGAAATCAGTGTTAAATAAACTTAAGGTTGTGGTGTAGACTAAGAAAACTCATGTTTAGGACTAGGAAAACTGGTTCAAATTATGCTCTGTAATATTGTTAAAGAAGAATCGTTAAAACAGGAAGAAAACTGTAGTTACACAACTCAAAATTCTTTTGTTATCAAGAAAAGCTCTGGGTAAGGAACAGAAATGCAATTGCCAACTTCTAGTTAGCAGAATTCTCCAGACCTCCCCCTGCACTCTGCCTTTTCTGTAGGATTAAAAAACCCTCTACTAATTGTGTTTCTTTGTATTATTTTTAAGCTTATCTACAATCCAATCAAGTTATGGGCTGGGGAGAGAAAGCTATTGAACTGCGCGCCGTGGAGACAGGAGAGCTGAAAGGCGTGTTTATGCACAAGAAAGCACAGAAGCTGAAATTTCTTTGTGAACGGAATGATAAGGTACATGGGCAAAACTCAGTGATACAGATGCTATTCCTTATTTCATTAACGGAAGTGTTCTTATGCTGCTGCTCAGTCAAACAGGCTCCCAGAGCAAGGCGGTCTGTGCCCGCAGGCATACAATCCAAAATGACATGACACACAAGGAAGAAGCGGTGGGCAGGGCAGAGGGTAGAAGGCGACGCCTGATTAAAGAGTCTGGTTGCCTTCTCAGCGCCCTCCATACGGCCCATTGGATCATGCTCACACGCAAACAGAGCCTGGACCTGTTTAATCAGATTCTTTCCCACAGGAGAGGTGTGATGGGCTGTGCTGGCTGGGAAATGATGGACGTTGTTGTCCAGCCTTTCCGAAAGGGACCCGGTTGAGGAAGGCAGATCTGAACCCTCCCAGATAAGGATCCTGTGGATGGGAAGTACTCTGACTCTTTTGAACTGAGCCAATGGGAGGAAGAGATTGTCAGCTGGGGCTGGCTGGTGGTCTGTGTCCAGGTCCACGTCAGAAAGTAGATATTAACCCGCAGTTGGCCCTCTGCTGGCACACCCATTTCTCCCATCTCAAGGGTGCAACACTGACCTGGGGAGAGGGAGCGGCCACAGACCGTTCCGTGGAGGCTGGGGAGGGGAACCCTGTTTGGACTTGCCAGAATGTCCCTCCAAGGTAGAATAAAAACCATTTTTAAACTACCAAAAAAAAAAAAAAAAAAAAAAAAGCAGCATCGAGTCGGAAAGGTGTACTGCAGAGGCAGAGTGGGGCAACCTCTCTTTCAACCCCTCCCAAGTGGTGTTGGGGTACTTTGGGGGCACGGGGCAAGAGGGGCAAGAGGTTTCTTCCACTCTTGCCAAGCAGCTCTATAGCAGTTTCTGTTGACCCAGGATGGGTTGTGTTTCCTGAGTTCGGACAACACAGCAACCCATGGTGGGTCGAACCAACTTCCACGCACCACCATGCACCGCCAGGGTGGCTTTTAACCCCAGCTGAAGCCACCCTTTCAAACCCCCTGTGCATTTACACAGCCTGTGTGAAGCCAGTCACTGTCAGACAGCCCTAAGATCGCAGTTATACGAGCATAATTTAAAGGACAGGTCCCCTGCCTTTCTTTAGCAAGATGGTTCCTACATATTTCAATATCTTATGTGTCTTTTTTATCAGGATCTGTAGAAATTGTAATCTATCAGTGTAATACACCACCTCAAATGGTGACATTTCATCTTGCTGTTCAGGAAGAACCCCACTCTTTGAATTAAACTAGAATTCAGGTTTATATATGGAAATGTATGTGCCACATTCTCAGGTATGGCTGAAATATTCTTATAACCATAAAGTAACATTAGCATCTCCCCCAATTCCCCACTCTTTTCTCAAGGTATTTTTTGCATCTGTTCAGTCTGGAGGCAGCAGTCAAATTTACTTCATGACACTCGGACAGAACATACTATTCAATTGGTAGAACACATCAGAATGAAAGATCGGCTGCTTTTCCCCACTGGATATGAGCTATGTCAAATCCAAGCTGGTTACGGATGTTTTCCCATTTTCCTACAAGAGGAGCAAAACACGGTCATCATTATTCCCTCCTTCAGTTGCAGAAGAGTTCCATTTTCCCTTCTAGCCATTGCAATGATATTGCTGTTAAAAATCAGTCATTCAATAACCGAGAGAATGGTTTTCAGAAGTTACGGGCAGATATGCGATTGACCAAAGTACAGAGAGGCATGACTGCTGTCACAACTCTGCAAGCTCTCAAGGCAGAGTATGCACAGATACAGTTCCTGCACAAACATTGTGATGTTATTTCGTTAAATGTTCATGTTTTCATTCTGGACAACAGTTTATGTACACGGAGGCATATTCAATGTGTGTGTGTCTTGGCACAAGCTGGAAATCCACTTGAGGCTAAATTAGTGTTGTATTGTTTCTTGAAAAATCCTGCTTACTCAAGTGTATTAATCTTCATCTCAGAACTAACAAGCAACAGTGTTCACGTTTTAGTTTTTTCCAAATAGGGAAAAGGCTGGAGAATGTCTTCCCGGACTCTTCCCTCAACCACCTAGGGGTGGATGCGCCCATTCCATTTTTATCATGCTTTAAAACTTTGTATGGGTAGGAACAGTATTCATCTATTTAGGCTATCCCTGTGAAATGTATATTTTAAGGGTCTAGACAGATAAGTTTCAGTTCCGACCTCAAAAACGTCCTCCATGGTCAGAGCTGAGGCTCCAAACTCGCCTGTCAGCTGCGGTGGAGGGAACTACACCAGCTGCAGTTCCAACGTTGCAAGGACAACCTCAGAGGTGAGCTGGGAAGGGATGGGATGGGATGGCGCAGGCCCATGGCGTTTGCAGGATGCCAGTGGCACTTCAGCCTCCTTTCCTCAGGGTGCAAGGCCACACACCTTGGAGTCCAAAAGTGGCCATCGACGTGTTTTGCACATCAGGAGAAACAAGGGGTGGCCTCTACCTCTGTGTTTCTCCTGTCATGCTTCGGATGCCCATAATCTTCCAAGTTGAGATGGAGAGAGGCTGGGATATTTTACTAGCATGGACGTAGGAGTGTTTTGTAGCTGGATCCTACAAACTGTACTTGCTCAAATGGTCTTTCGCATGCAGCTGGGCTGACTTACGTATACAAGCTGGGGAGTTCTGGTCTTCTTGGGATTCTTTTTGGGGTGATGGGGGATGACTCTTACACTTCCTGATGGCAACAAAAACATCTATTTATGTCTAGATTTGTAAATATCTTATATCGCATTTCAGTAATGTATTTTTAAGATAGCCATAGGCACAACCCAAGGTTATAGGGAAAGCCATTCATTGGGAAGTTCCCATTGGAATGGGGCAATCACTCCAGTGGGACAGGAAAGGCTGTCAGTGTACCAAACAAAGCAGCCCTTGATAGAATTAAGTCCTGCTAGCCATTTCATATGACTTTATCTCTGAGTAATCAAGAGACCATCTAGTGACACACACTGGTGTTTTTTCCGCCAAGAAATTATATTCTCAGGGGCTACTTTAGAGCTGAGCTTTCGGGTTTACATGCACAATCTTGACTTAGCTAACATTTGTACAATGCTTTTCGAAAATGTAAAGCACTATAAAAATACTGCATAGTATGACTATATAGTAGCTGAGAACTTGATGCAAAAAAGAAATTTTTATCCAAGAAAGATATGCAATAATCTATACTTGGGGGGGCGGGAATAAAGGGCGGGTGGGCAGAGATATAAAGTACAGTATTTAAAAATATATAGTATTAACTTTTAACATGAGCTGTATAGAGCACAAGTCAAAAGGGCATAGGGAGTTGGCTCATTCTGCCAAAACAGATGTTTCTCAGATAACACCGTAGCTTAGTGACTGTTGTTACCCATGCAAAAATTCTGGGGTTTACTCTCCAGTTAAAGTGTCTTGGAGAGTAGGGCTGGAAAGGACTCTTCTTTGTCTGTTATCAGAGAGCCACTGGTGTCCAGAGCGGACTGTATAGTGAGAGATGGACAAAAATGGACTGCCGGGTGAAGCCCCCTTCATAGGCCGCTGTGTGTTTTGGAAAAGAAAGGCTTCAGATCTGGTGTGGTGCCCTTCCTGAGCAAGGGAGTGTAGCTGCACTTCCTCCACATTCTTTTTTTCATGCAGAAGTTGTTCCTAAGTAAAATTGTGACTCCTGGTGGGGATCCAAGAAAGTTTCTGTAAGAACTCCAGGATATCATGGACACTTGGAGACAGTCTGCAGATGCAGCTGCATATCATCACTTGGCTGTATTTTATGTTCCTCCTAATGGGCTTCCGGCGACTGCTGGTGGCGTAGATGAGCTGGGGTCCCGCCTCATATGGTCTCCAAGCATCCTTTGTAGAACATATTGCCGATACCCAGAAAGTGAATGTGTTGCGTGGGATGGGTGGGGGTGATAAAACTACAGAAGGTGGCAAAACTTTGGTGAAAATACTTAGGGATCACTCAGTGTTGCTGCAAAGCATGAATAGGTGCAAAACTAAGCTCTCTGCCCTTGGCCCAGATGGAGGCTAGACAACAATTTGGTAAGATAGCAAAATGCTAGTATTCTGAAGAAACTGGGAGGTTTTTGTACTCCATGCCCTCTTCAAGATCCAAAATAGCAAGATCCTTCCCTAAGTAACAGTTGCCCCAATTCCATATAGGAGCTATTAGGCAAACACATAGAAGGAAGTAGCTGTAGCCACCTTCTTAATGTTACCAGAAACTTCTTAGCTCAAGGTCATAAAAATAAGTTCTTCTATTTGGCAACTGAACTTTCAGACAGCTGCACGGTTGTGGAGAATCCTTGTTCTGTCCTACACACAAGTCAAAATTGCATGGGCATGGAATCTGAAACCCAGCAGAATTTCCCCAGAAGATGACAACATTTGAGGAACTTTGCCAGAGTAATTGAGGGGAAACCCTGAGCAGTTCCTGTTTATAGCATTTTGCTTAGTGGGGGGTCAATAATGTACTACACGAATCCTCATTTGTCTCAAAATGTTTGAACTTGGTGCTCAATTTCCAGCTTCAGTATTTTTGGGAATTGCCCTAGGCTTGGGAACTTTGACAGAGAGATGATCAAACATAAAAAGCTTAATTACCCAGACAGAGAAATATATTTTTAACTGAACTCTCTTGCCATTGCAGTAGCTTGGTTGAAAAGCAAAATGTTGTTCCGTAAAGAGCACAGGAATCAACAGGGACTTCATTTCAACCCTGAAATCTTGGTGCCATGATGTGGGTTTCACAGCTTTTGCAAGTGATCTTGGGATTCTACCATCAACACATCAAATGCATCTTTCTAAAAAGTACTTCAGTAACTAAATTATCACTGAAGGGTTGATCATGTATCAGCAATAATTTGAATATATAATGTTTCTTTTTTTAAAGTGTTAAAATGGAAAAGGCATTTTAATTGATTTAACAACATCATTTGTAATTGCTATAAGCATTCCATAGACATCAAGTATACATAATTAGAGAACTCACTCCTTCAGTTTCAGTGACAGGGTTGAGTTGTTATAGATCAATCAAACCAACCAAACAGTTGCATTGCTATCTCTTTTGATCAAAGGTTATCTGTGAGCCATCCTGCACTCTTCTATCATTTCTGAAAAAAGGCACTGTAGTACAAAACAATAAGATCTTTGCTAAATTAGGCCAAAGATCTAGCTTAGCTATTCCTGATCTGGTGCTCTCCATGGCTGGCCGGAGAATACCAGAAACTGAAGGACTTTGCACAGGCTTCAGACCCTTAGTGCCTTATTTATCACAATGGAATGAAAACCCAAAAAGTTAAAAAAGGGAATGTAACCCAATTTCAGGAAAGAGAGGGAGGTGACCTGCCAATATCTCAGAGGTCCATCAAATGCTATTCTCCATGGCTGGATTCTGTAAACATTGAGGCACTAGTCCCCTGGTGCCTTCTGAATGCTTTGGACTTCAGCTCAGCCAACATTGCCAATGGCTGGGAGCTCTACAAGTTGTAGCCCAAAATACCTGAAAGGCACCCACTAGCAAGCTTTCTCATCTGCCATCATGTCCACAAAGGTGGGCATCAACAGCCCTCCAAATGCAGAGGGCATTCCATAATCCCTTTTCCCTAGAAATCTTCTACAATAACCCCATTTGTATGATGACCCAATCAAGGCTTTGTGAAATATTCTGTCTGGAAGTAATTTCAGTTCCTCACCCCTTTTAACAGCCAGTTCCCCTAAACAATGATGGGGAAGTAAATATTGCATGAAAAATGAGCCATTTCCTTTGCATTTCTTCACTGTTTTAAAATGATGAAAAACACGTTCTCAGATGTCAACACTGAGAGTCTGTGTGGGCACAGACGCCCTCCATGGCAAAGGTATTTTGGTATTCCTGATACCTTCAGGGCAGAGGTGAAAATGCATTAGCAGTGAGTTATGCGTGACCAAAGAGTGGCCAGAGAACCTTTTGGTCTCCATCACTGCCCATGCATGACTTCCTGGTTGCATTCTCACTTGGGAAAGTCAGGGAGTGTTGGAATGCGAGTGGTAGGAATACGTAGGGACAGGTAAGCAGGGCTCGCTTAGCACCGCTTCTCCTGCTTGTCCACCTGCTTCTGGGCCAACTGGGAGGCAGAGATGCCATTGCCTGCTTGTTCATTGGCTCCCTGCCTGCCAATCGAGCAAGGGGTGGGCATGATTTGAAAGAACGGTTGGTGGCAGTGGCAAGAAGGGATGGTCACCATTGGTGACCCATGTTGCATCAAGTTCCAGGTGCAACTCATGATAAACGACACCTTTGGTATGTTTGCCAGGAAACAACATGAGCCGAAAGTAACATATACGGACACTCAGAGCTGTTTTTCTCTGACAGCTGCTTTTGCAGGGCACCCTGAATTATGTCAAGACTCTTTACCTTCTTTACGTTGTACTTTGGTATATACCAAATAGGGCAATAAGACAGGAATTCCGATCCATGTGGAAATGGAAAAGAGGGGCAGCCAGTAATCACTATTCTGGATGAACTTGGCACAGAATAGAAGGAGGCTCTTGTCTGAGTGCACCTGCAGAGACCACAAACAGCTGTGCCAAATTGAGGAAGGTTATGGCTGCGAGGCCAAGCATGCTTACCTGGAAGTAAAGCAGACTGGCCACTGTAAGATCAGCTTTGAGAAAATATGCATGGAATTGCACTGTGAATATTATTATTCTGCCTGAAATACACATGGAAGCTTGATAATAAGTGATCCAGTTCTATCTAGTATTCCTAAGCATAGTAGATCAAATCCTCAAATAAGTTTTGTTGTCATAAACACTAACTGAATTAGATGGTAGAAAATACATGTTGGGGAAAAGTCGGTAGAGAGGAAAGGTTAAGAGAAACAGTCAAAAAGGAGATGAAAGGTCACAGAAGAGAAGATAGAAAAACAAGTTGTTGGTGTAGGTGAAAGAGAGGAAACAGAATGGTGAGATCAGAGATATCGCTGGGTTTGGAAAGCACTTCAAATTTTTATGGGAACTGTGAATGCAGGTAACAGTTAGGAATTTCAAGCAATCATTCAGATTGCAACAGCGATTACATGGGAGAATGTTCAGAGACTGAAAAGTTCTAACAATCATAGTTGATCATGCTTAAATCAATTGCTGGTGTTTAGGAAGTTATCTCAGTTTAGTCTGCCCTAGTATTTTGATTTTTAAGAAGAGAAATGGATTTCTCTCTAGTAATATAGTGGCTGTGTCTGTCAGTCAGTAACATAGTGCCAAGGCTAGAGCTCTAAACGGATTGGCATGCACTTTGGGTTTAGTTGGTTTTTAAAATGCATTCAGTGCTTGCAATTCTTCCCAGAGAATCCATGTTTGAAGCCTGCAGGACCATCTTTAGTCACTAGGGGGCAGATTTCCCTCTCCAACACACCATCTTGCAGTCCATAGAATGTGGGGTCAGAGGAGATTAGTGGGTTAAGGGGGGGGGGGTTATAAGCCTGCCTCCTTCCCCCTGCTGTGGGGGAGCCCCCGCAAGGGAACAGAGTCCACAGATGCTTCCTCAGGGGGCTATAAGAATGCACCATGGAAGGGCCCATCCCTCGGAGTGCCAGCCGGGTTGGCTTTACTCAGGTGGAAAGGGCAGAATGTGTCCAGCTCTGATGGCAGCGCACACTTTCTTCAGAGCTTCTCTTGATCAACCTCAGGGCCATGCCAACACATGCAAAGCAGAGTCCGTTCACTAGTTCTGAAGAAAACGGGCTGGGGAGAGAATCAAATCATCAATAGGAACCCTACGCCCTGAAGCCATCATTCCTGACAATTGCCACCAGCTTTCTGTTCCAGGAGTGCTTCGTATTTCCAGTTTACAATGGAAATGAAGGCAGTAAATTATGTCCTTACAATTATTTTGCAAGACGTGGTGCTTTAGCCCGAACTTGTGAATTATAAAGTGGGAACAACAGTTGCTGCGCACTGTGTTTCATGAGATGTTTATTGTACTGTAATGGTTCTTTAATGTCCAAATTGTATATTTGAAGCAGCAAAAATAAAGCATTATTCTGGAAAAAATGAACAGGACATTTTTCTCATAGTATCATCTTACACTGCTGTGAACTAATTGAAAAAGAAAAGAAACATGATTAGAATGGCATAGATCCCATTATATTTGGTACTGAGTTCAATTTTTTTTTTCTGTTGGTGAAGAGCATAGGACATGGGTCCTCAAACCACGGCCCACGGGCTGGATACAGCCTGCCATTTATCTGGCCCGCCTCAGATCTTTTGGACTAGCTCAGAGAAAATGATCTTTGAGGGAGTCCAGAAGCTCTGAGCTGGCCCAGGCATTCTTTGAAACTGAGCAGAGAGCTGGCACACGCACCTAATTGTAAAAGCTCAACTGTGCATGTGCCGGCTTCCCCCCCCCCACACACACACCCCCATTGCATGCATATTCAGAGCGGGAATACGGAGAGGGAAACGAGAGGAGGGCAGAAGAGAGAAAGAAATGAAGACACTAAAAAAGAGTTGAAGGTAAGAAAAATATAACTTTTTAAATCTATTTTGAATTATGTAAGCCACGTCCCTGGGCTGCGGGCCAAGCTGCAGCCACCTCACCAAGCCTGGGGGCAGCCGTTCAACAGTGGCTGCAACTTGCCCATAGAAGGCTGCCCCCGGGCTTGGCGAGGCAGCTGCGGCTTGCGGCAGAGGCGTGGGAGACACGGCCTTCAATGGGCAAGCTGCTGCCGCCGCCATTGAGCAGCTGCCCCCGGGTTCAGTGGGAACAGAGCAAACATTTTTAATTTTTAAATTAATTTTTAATTTAAATTAATTTTAATTTATTTTAATTTCTTTTAATTTCTTTTAATTTTAATTATTTGTAATGTGCAGTGTGCATAGGAATTCATACATATTTTTTTCAAACTGTAGTCTGCCCCCCCCCCACCCAACAGTCTGAGGGACAGTGAACTGGCCCCTTGTTTAAAAAGTTTGAGGGCCCCTGGCACAGGGTCTCAACTGAATGAGTGTCAAAAAGGCCATGCAGACATCTGCTTGGCACAATTTTCCTCGAAAAGCATCTTTGACTAGAGCCGCTCAAGCAAATATCTCTTTCTGTCTGGAAGCACATTAAAGTATTGATACAATTTACTTGGTGCTTTGTCAGAGCTGCAGAAAAGGGCATCCAAAATGATCAAGGGGCTGGAGCAATTCCGCTGCAAGGAAAGGTTTGTGCTCTTTCGCTTGGTGGGGAGGCAAGACATGATCTGAGATAGGCACAATTATGCATGGTGCAGACAGCGTGGAGAGGAGACACTTCTGTCCCTCTTCCATAATGCTGGAATCCAGGGTTATCCCATGGATCTGACGGATGGGAGAGGGATGACAGACAAAATGAAGTATTTCTCCACAAGGGGCATAGCCAACAAATGGAATTTGCTGCCTCAGGGTGTGTGACGCCAGCAAACTGTTGAGCGAGAATGCAGGGAGGGATAGGATGGAAGATCCAGGGGAAATGGCTAAGGGAAACCCAGATACTGCGTAATACAGGGGGTGTTGAAAGTCTTGCAGCCCAAGGGCTGAATCCCATTTCAGAGAACTGTAGGTCATTTCCAGTACTGGATGGGACCAGATGTCAAGGGAGCAGGGCCAAAAATACCAAAATTGCTAGCATATTTTAGCTTAAAGTTCTCACTGCTGTTAATTAAAGCCTTAAGAGAGGTATTAAAACCTTGTGGGGGAGGCATATGGACTGCATAAAAGCTAAAAAAACACCAACAATCAAAGCTTGGGAATAAGGGAGGGAGAACACTAGCCCAGCCTTTGCCCCAGAACAAGTCAGATTTGGCTTCTGGGGCTAAGTTATTGCTCTCATACCTCAACATTTTATTTATTTTTGGATTTATATCCTGCCTTTTTCCTAGCTCAAGGCAGCTTACATCATTCTCCTCCTCCATCTTATCCCCACAACAACAACCCTGTGAGGTAGGTTGGGCTGAGAGTCTGTGACTGGCCCAAAGTCACCCAGTTGGCTCCATGGCCGAGCGGGGACTAGAACCCAGATCCTCTGAGTCTCAGTCCCACGCTCTTAACCACTACACCACACTGGCTTTATTGCAGGCTCTTCTTGTGTAAACCAGCGTATATTCACTTAAAAGTCTTCCACGTTCCCCTTTCCTGTCTCCAATGGTCCACTATTGTTTTAAACAGTAACGATTCTTAAATGTTTTGGTGGAAAGACAGTGTATATATAAATACATATATAATGTATGAAGTCCTTTCAGATGAACTGTGTATCCAAAGAACTTCCTCCTAGTGAACCCTGATATATTCCTGCAAGTGAAGAAGAAAACTCTTGATATTTATCTCAAAACTAAGAAAATATTATGATTCACCAAAATTAACATTTTGTTTAAAAAAATCTGCACTGGGATACTGCTTCAGTGATTAGAAAAAAAATGTGGTGTGTATTTTATAAGTTACTGTTATACGGAAAACACAGAGTGCAGTTTAGAAGCATTGCTCATCTTCTGTGCTTCCTAGATGAAACCTGGCATTTTAATTTGATATCCTTGTTTGTTGGGAGGAAAGTGGACCAGCTTCCAGGAGAAGAATTGCTTGGCGATAAAATTGCCTCTCAAAGAAATATCACAAGATTCAGTTTACAAGCTCAGATGCTGTACTTAGACAACTGTATTTAAGTTAAATGAAACATGAGCAAACCTACAATCTATATAAAAAAAGATTGTTTTCTATGAATTCTCAAAGCTAAGCCATAAATCAAACTTCCAGCTAACCAAAATGATAGATATCCGGCTGAAATCCTCCCACCCTGTTTAGTAATGCTCATCACATTGCATGCTACTTATCAAAGCAACAAAGAGTGCTTTCTAGGTGATCACCTTGAAATGATATTTTAGCATTTTTTGTTTCCTGTTATTATTGCTGGGTTAACAAAAGCACCAAGGATATGATGGAAAAACAAGTGTCAAGGCAGTCATCTTTTGTGTCAGCAGCATCCTAAGTTAACAGAAATAGCAGGTTTTGCCAGCGTTGCTCTTCTTCTTTAGCCAAACAGGTATTCTATTGTACATTGCAGCGCTCGGATAATGAAATGGAGGGGAATCGATTCTCTTTTACGCAAAAGCACCTTCTGACAGTTTGTACAACCTGGTTTTGAAGGTGCTGCTTCAGCACTGATGGGGCTGAACAAGACTCAGGGTTGGGCCCCAGCACCTTATGAATGAAAGAGGCTGTGTGTTCATCTGTCCATCCATCAGCACTATAGTGACAAGACCATGAAAGCGGGAAGTCAGAGATGACCTGTTCTGGGCGGTTCTTCACATGCTGCTTCTTAAAACTGTGGGGGGCATGTGGCCTGCAGGGGTCCCTTCAATGTAACTGTGAGTCATGGGAGCCACCCTTCAATTGTTGTCGGTGATTGTGGTTGTGTATTATGCAAAACTGGACAGGTACACCAAATACGTGCTTTGTCCCAGGATGGAAAAGCAGCAACATCAGCAGGAAAAGTGGACTTTGTAAAGTCACAAGATGGCCAGGGAAGGGGATTCAGGGAGGCTAGGTTCTGTCTGCAACTACAAAAGTCAGGACAACTTCAGGAGGTATCGCCAGGATGATGTGATGCTGAATTAGGTAACACCATCAGCGGGCATCAGTGGGGCAAAGCTTTGAATATGGGGCAGTGAGCCAGAAGGACTGTAACAGCCAGAAAATGTGCTTTAACTATTTATTTATTTATTTTATTGAATGCTTTTCTATACCATCCCATACTTAGATGTCTCAGGAGCAAACTATAATATTGCTCTTTTTGTCTTCTGGGGCCTGGGCTAACAAAAGCCCCAAAACATAGGAAGATGTGGGCCTGAACTTCTGTGCCTTCCTCTTTTCCTGGGACTTGGAGCAGATGTCTAGGGCGGCTGTCCAAAGTTGTGACTCAGTGCTGCAATTCTGCCCACAGTTGTTGTAACTTACTGCTTAAAGAATGACTTCTTGTCCTTTCTGTACTCACCTATTTTATCTTTGTTTTAGGTTCAATGAAGCTTATCTCCTTATAATTAAATTTGCCACAGAACTGTGCCAAAAGAATAGATTCCATACCCCAAACAGGGAGTCCAATTCTATTCCCATTGGGCAGGGTAGGAGGAAGCTGTCATATTAATCAATTTGCTTCTAATAATTGTCTCTAGGGTGATCTTTGCAGAAAAATATAAGAGAATTATATATAACTTTATATAAGTATTTTTCATTTCACAGCATGTTGTCTGCAGTCTTTATCATCTTCAAAGCATTTATTTCTACCAGCCCTTGACAAAACTTCGTGTACCTGATGAAGGGGGTTCTACTCCACAAACATACAACCACAATAATCTGTTAGTCGTCTGTGAAAGATTAGCTCCAGGGAACATGCTTTGTTAAGATTATGAACAAGATAACTGCAATTATACTTGTCCATTCTGGCAGATTTATCACAACAGATCAGTTCATGTTTGTGAACTACTGGAAAATTAAGTTTGTGGAAGACAATGTAAAATGCAAATAGCTATACTAGGCATTTATGTTTGTTTGTTTGTTTGTTTGTTTTTTCTGATGGTTAAGGACAGGATAATTTGCAAAGGTAAGTTTTCATTTTCATTATATATTATTTAATGTATACAAATTTTGAATGTATTTTTCTTGTTATTTATTTGAGAAAAAAAAAAGATTTCTGTAACACTTAAGCAAAACTACCAGGGTGAGTTACAAAAACAAGATAAAATACACAAACAAAGCTTAAGAAAAAGCATGTTCTCCGATACATGAAAAGCCCCTATACAAATACAAATTTGTTTTACAAAGTATCTCGCGCAGTAAACCTCTCCATCCTTAGGCCTGCGATCACGCAAACTGCAGCCTCTCCGCCCTTCAAACTCCCCGCTCCAGCCAACATGGCCAGGAATGATGGGCACTGCAGTCCGAAGCGTTCTGTGCTGACTGGGGCTAATGCGAGTCCAAAAGCCACCAATGGGGAGCGGCTGCCGCTTACAAGCCCCGCAGAGGCTGATCGTGGGGGGAGCCGTTTGGCCGGGCGTGAAGGCCTCGCAGGCGAACCCCGTCCAGAGCAGCCTTCCTCCACCAACCCTCCGCCCATTACCTGGCGCTGGGACTACAGGCCCCATCCTCCCCAGACGCCAGGCCGGAGGGAAGGCGAGCGACGGGAGCCGCAGCCCCGACCCGCTGGCGGGTGCCGGGCTACGCCGGGCGGGAGGGGAGCGCCCATCCCCGCCCCGCGCGCCCATTGGCCACTTCGAAGAGGAGTCCGCCCCGCCCCCTCGGTAATGGCGGCGGCGCCGGGCCGGCCTTGCGGAGCGCTGCGCCTGCCCGCGTCGTGATCCGCGCGGAGCGCCCGGGCCCCTCGGCGGCCGCGGGCGGCGGGGCATGGGCGAGAAGCGAGGCGCCGCGGGCACGCGGGAGGGCGCGCGGGGGCCCGGGGCG